GTGACAGAATTTTCTTCCCCACCTGCCCTCACTCTTATTAGCATTGTCTATTCCAGAGTGATCCACGTAACTAAAAGCACTTTGTGTGCTGATACAGAAATGTTCCTGCTGTCTAACAGTTTTCTGGCTGTGTCTTAATAGTCCCAGAATTCAATTTTAAATGGCTTCAAGGTTGAAGGAAAAAATGTATCTTTGTCATTGTGCAAAGAACAATGAAAATCATCTTGTCAGCTCTTCAGTAGTGTGCAGCATGAGGTGTAGTCATTTCCTGAAACGGCTGGGCACTGTAGTTTTTAGCACTCTTCTCTTATTAATACAGATTTGATGCTCTGAGTATCTATAGCAGCAGGACAATGTATACAGTGCCCATGTTCATAGTAATAAAGTACCATGTCTCCCCCTGTGAGGCACATTAATCTTGTTTTAATAGTTTTTGGATAACAGTGTGTGTGTGGGGGGGGGGGTCTATGGCACAGAGGAATAAGCAATATCAGGTTTTAGCTATATAGACAAAACTTCTTAGTCTGATCAAGTTATTGTTGGATTTGGTCGTTTAATTTGATTTGTTGACCCAAACGATAAAGAATGTCACCAGTCTTATACTTTAAAATTTAACTGCTTGACCTTTCGGGAAGTACGCTTTTCCTTCCTTGCCAAGAGTTGCATGAGAAGATGGCCACCATTTTCATGTTTGTACAGTAAATATATTTGAGCCAGCCAGTGATTACAGATCAGTGGAAAACGACTAGCCTGGCTCTGTCCAGAGGTAACAATCTGTCCACCACAAATTCTAAAAACTCCTAAATGAACACATTAAATCTCTGTTTAATCTGTGTATATATCAAAAATAATTTACTGGCAGTTATATGCCAAGAAAATTTTTTGGCCAGGAGCGGTTACCTTCTGAAGTCTCTGCAGGTTAACTGCTCTTTTCCTAGTTATGTGCCTGTGTGTAACACTCATGCCCGTAAAATAGGGCTGAACAATTAATCGAAATATAATCTAATGGTGCGTTCCAGTTGACATGGGAATTCGGAATTTCCGAGTTCAAAGGTCAAAATTTCAAAGGGAACGCCCCCTTAAGTCAGAATCCTGACTTGGGAAGTCTGGAGAACCGCACAACCCCGACTTCGTGATCCAAGATGGCTGTCGGGGTATCAACAGTTAGTGAAAGCTGTAGTTTATACTGTTTATTAGCACGTGTATGTGTACTTGTGACTCATATAAATGTTCGTACACAAAGTGCTGTCCAACAGCTGTCTGTGGACGTGTTGCTACAGTGTTTAGTGTGAGTAAATACCACACAGTGTTTTTTTTTTTTTTTTTTTTTTTTTTTTTTTTTTTAAATCAACTGGCGTATCAATAGCTAACCTGGCTAGTTGTAAACGAGCGAGATTTTCCGACTTGTTAACTGGAACGCCGTCTACTTGGGTGTGACGTCATTCCCAGCTCCGACTTCCGAGGTACATGGAACGCAGCATAAATCTCAATATCCAAATTGCAGTAGCTGCAGTAAAATTTATAACAGCATTATAATTTCAGCATTTTGGCGCTACAGAGACGCCCTGACCTACAAATCGCGTTCTCAAGACATAAGGGAACATTGGTACAGACCCAATTTCAGTGAAAATGAAAAAAATAAATTTAATAAAATAGCGGACTTCTATCTCAACCTTGACATATACATATTCTGACTGTTATATTGTTTTTCTTCCTCCGTCTCCAGAGACCATTGGAAACTCACAGCAAGCATACCAGGAAGCGTTTGACATCAGCAAGACTGAGATGGACTCCACACATCCCATCCGCTTGGGCTTGGCGCTCAACTTCTCAGTCTTCTACTACGAGATCCTCAACTCCCCAGAAAAAGCCTGTGAATTGGCTAAAAAGGTCTAAAGGCGTCTCTCAAAAAAATCAGCCCTCATTTCCACAATGTTGCATTGCAAGTGTTAACCTTTTCCTTTTTGTTTGCAGGCATTCGACGATGCCATTGCTGAGCTCGACCAGCTAAATGAAGAGTCCTACAAAGACAGCACTCTTATCATGCAGCTCCTCAGAGACAACCTGACAGTGAGTGTTGCACTTTTCACACAGCACAGAAATGACCTTCAGTGTTGCCTTAATGTCTGTCACATGGTCATATAATGCTTCAAACAAACTCATTTGTTGAAAAGGCCACACAAGGTCAAAAGCCTGCTGTCGTTGTAAGTGGTGAGACGCATTGAACCATACAAATGAGGTCTAAACGGCACACGCTTCCGGACAGCATCTCCTCAAAGGCATTCATTAGGGTTCACATGGTAATGGAAAAACCTGCATCACAGTCATGTACTTTGACAGCCCTAAAGGTTTTGGAAAATGTTTATTCCACCTCTAGGATTTGACGCGACGTGCTGCATAAAGCCTTAGAAAACCATTTATGTAGACGAGAACTTGGATTGGGTTTTTTGTTGTACGTTTGCACAAATTGCTGCCGTTTTTATGGTATTGTGCGTGTACAGATAGAAAGTCAGTTATAATTATCTCTACAATGCTTCAACATTTAAAAATGGTGAAGGAGTCGGGATATTTGACTAGATTCCACTGTATTTTAACCTAAATATCTGTTTGTCTCCTCAGTTATGGACATCGGACAATGCTGCCGAAGAGGGCGATGCTGGAGAAGGAGGAGAGGGTGGCGAGAATGAGAGCTAAAAAATAAATACATAACACAAGCCCTCATTGTTGGGGTCATCTCCTCCAAAAACAACAAAAGGACAAAAAAAAACTTTTTACACATCCTTCATTCCTTATTGCTCCACTCAAACATTCTACCAATGAAACCTATTGAAAAGAGTTGTGTAAGGAAAAAAAAATCATGCTTTTCACAATGTAGATTTGGACAATAAATTGGTGAAAAGAGAAACCCTCCATTCCCTATTTAATTTGTGTTTGTCCTGGCCTTCCCATTTGTGCAGTTTCAGCTGTAGAGAAGTGTTTGATAGCTTGACATGATATCCGACTCCTAGCTCAATTTTAGAGGCAGAAAATGTCGTTGACCAACTGGAAGTCTACATCCCATTGATTGAGAAAGTCTGGATTCCCCCCCGATAAGAAATGTTTGCTATAAAAACTAATTTCCGCCATATCTTTATTTCTTTTTAGTGTCTCTGTCTAGACAGTTATGTGGTACGGTTACAGCAGCTGAAGTCCAACTTCAAACAGATTCAATTTTTCATACTGCAGGGAAAGCTAGTGCACTTTACATGCTGGCAACAAATACTATAATACAGCCAAGTAGTGTCTATTGGTTCAATCCTCACTTTCTGCCCTGGTTATGATATGCCACTCTTTCACTAAAGCATGCTTGTTTGGGGGTGGGGCTTGTCTGACCAAATGCTGGGACCTTTTTAATGGGAAGAAGATAATTCTGTCATGCATGTCTCTGGAGATATTACACTGGAATGGGAGCAAATGCTGTAACACACACCAACAAGTCCAAATGTCAAGTTTAGTAAATTTCATTGCAGGTTTTTCACATCCTAAAAGGGGGTGATTTGTTAGTCTGTCCAGTGATTGTCATTAGAGATTTGGACCACTATTGTTTTGCTATTCATTCAATTGTAGTCCCCAAAAGCCTTGTGGAACTGTTTGAATCCCTATGTATCAGCTATGTTAACATAAATAAAACATTTTATAAACCAAGTTCAAATGGGTCTTTCTGTTTATTTTATTTGCTTAATAGTATGTACTTTGATGTTTGTAATTGTTGATTGTTAAAAGACAACCTTAGATGGGAATGAGAGAGAATTTATTTGGGAACATTTATTATTGTAAGGGTTTCCAACTTAATGATTTGTCAATATCTTTCTGCTAATCTCTTTTGTATTAAAAGTATTAAGTTTTTCTGTCTTAATATTTTTAGAAGCATCCACTCCGTTATTTAAGAACACAAATGTCATACACCCATGTTGGAAAGAAAGTACATTTATTCAAAAACTTCATCTATTTTACTCTACTTCAAATGGAAGTGGGGAGAAGTACTCAAGTACATTTATGTACATCTACAATTTTGAGGTTCTCATGTTTCTACTCTATCATTTAACCGCTATAGCTACTTTACAGATTAAGATTTTACATTAAAAAAACATGGATCAGGTTGTAAAATGCCCAACATAAAATTGTTAAACTTCACCAACATTAAAATACATTTTACATGTTAATGTAAATGTATAATTTTAGAAATAATCCAGTAATAATCTAACATTTACATTTTACACATTTATCTGACACTCTTACTAAGGAGACTTGCTATATAACTCAGAGGGCACACGCCTCTTATCTGCTAACTATTTTCATGATTAATTGTTTAGTCTTCTATAAAATGTCAAGAAATTGTGAAAAATGCTAATCACAATTTTCCAAAGCCTAAAGTGTTCAAATGGCTTATTTTGTCCAACCAAAAGACTCTTCATTTACTATCATAAATGACAAAGAATAGCAGCAGTTCCTTACATTTACGAGGACGAAACCAGCAATGTTTCACATTTTTGCGTAAAAAATGACTGATTCATTTTCTTTCAATCAACTGATTGATTAATCGACTAATCATTGCTGCTCCACTCTTGTCTTGCCCAAGCATGCATCGGTGTGTGGCAGTGGGAAGGGCCACTGTCCTGCATAAAGACAGAATAGAAAAGTGTATTTAGGTGGGCCTATCTGATACTTTACACTTTTCTGATAATACTTGACTACTTTTACTTAATTAAGATTTTTCATGCCATGCAGGACTTGTGATGGAGTATATTTGCTGAATACTTCTTCCACCTCTGATAATAATCCAGTTAAATACATTATGTTTTTACACTCTTTTCTGCATAATGGAGATTTCTACTATTCAAGGCAGGACTTTACATTGTGGTTTTGCGACTTTTACTTCCTCCTCTGTCATGAATCATCTGTGTAACTTCGGTGTTTCTGCTTCCCGCATTCCCGCATATTATGCTGAAAGCGGATGTTTTCTCTTCGACGCACTTCCGGGTAGCTCAGCTAGCTGTTTTAGACAAACCGACTTACTCTCGAAAATGACAGCAGTAGCGTAGCCAACTGAAAATGAGGCGCTTACTATTAATTGCCTTTCTGGCTCCTTGTTGGGTCAACGGTGCAGTTAAGTCAAGAGTTACTCCGGAGGAGAATCATGAAGAAAACACGGAATTTGGTAAGTAACGTATCAAGCTAACGTTAGCACAATGGTAATGCTAACTGTCTTTGGAATAATGGGCGTTAACGATGATTGCTGTGACTTTATGCTATCAATGTTAAGTTTATTCACAGTGATGATCAACACTAATATTTAATATTTTAACTAAGGGTTATAAAATGTTACGGTATTGAGTCCTGGTTAATTTTAATTATCTGCTAAACAAAAGCATCACCCGGCTAGCCTTGGCTCCAGGTGTTATCAGTCTGGTCATTTTAATGAAAAAAAGCAGTTTCTTTCTTGGTCGTGTATGACCATCATCGCCTCTCTATATTTATTTTCCAGATGCCCTGAACTCCATCCTGTCAGATTTTGAGGTGCTTCCATCGTCGGGCCTCCAGCTGCACTCTGTAAGGAAGAGGGACGTCCGCACCCAGTCCCACCTGGAGCGCCTGGTGAGCTTCAGAGCCCTGCACAGGTACATCAGCACCCTCATGTCTGACATTAACCCACCTTGAAGCACAGTGTTTTTTGTGGAATGATGCAGGGTAGGGTCAAATCTGTTTCAAAACAAAACTCACATGCCCATGCATATATTGAAAATTATTACTGATTGGTTGCTGCAATCATTCTTGTTGTCCATACTGCTGAAGAGGATAATAACTGGCATACTTAGCGAATGTGATTGCCCTTTTCACACACTGTGACTGTGCACACTGGAAAAGCAGTTCACACATTACTAGATGCAGTGCGTTAGTGGGTTCAGATGCCTGTTCACAAATCCTGAATGTTTTTGATTCAGGCGTGATCACTCCCTCTATTTGTCCTTCTAAATAAAAAATAAAATAAAAGCCTCAATACCAAGGTAGGGAAGAAAGAAAGAAATTAAAGAGAGGGGAGAGAGAAGAGAGCAAAAGAGAGAAGGGTGACCATAAAAGCCAAACTAAATGAAAACCTAAATAACTTCACTTGGTCTGTATTTCAGATTGAAAAATATAGATAAAGGTCCACTCTGCAGATTTTATGTTCAGCTGAATAGTGAAATGCTGTAGTCATCTGTGACAGGATTGGAAATATCAGAGATTCTCTCCAGAGCATAGACTGTTGCGTTGCTTGAAACAGTTGGTAGACCTTATCAAAGCATGTATGTGCTTCTGAGACAGGAACAGCCAGATTGGTCAAAATCCACAGTCCTTGCATAGCGTTAAAATACATTCTAAAGTTTGGACAACAGCCAGAGCTGAAATCATGCTTCTGTGGTCGGAGTTAGTTTATAAAGTGGGCATCTTCCAAAACATTTTTGTAGGAAATTCCCTCTCCGTCCACTGCAACCCAGCAAGGAAACACCGTAAGTGGAAACAAAAAGAGGGAAGTTGATGACTAAAATACCCCCTTGGTTTGGCAAACAAATGTCTTAAATAGATGTCATATGAGCCTCAGTTAATGTTTGCGATGCATTACTGCACCCCCATCACTGCTAGGATGGACAGCACATACAATTGTTTTTACAGCAACCAATTACTCTAAATGTCATCTTTAAATATCATAGATCAGACTAAAACTATGATCATACAAGACGGGTCATACTGAAAGTATTTTCTCACCTTGTGACTAAATACGCCCAGCATCAAATCCCATTTGACTCTTCACAGTACTGAAAGCAGCCATGTAATCGTGTTTGGATTAAAGTAGAAATAAGCTATTTTTATCTTTTTTCGACTTTAGAAATTTCAAGCTCTACTTGACCACCAACACAGACCTTTTCACTGACAACTTCAAAGCTGTGTTTGCTGATAAACACGGGAGGGAGGAGAACTATGATGTTCAGCTGCAGAACTATTTCACTGGACATGTTGTTGGTAAGCGAATGACTTATAGGATGAGGGATGCACCAATGTTTTTTAAATACTATATTTTCCTGATCGGGCTTTGTCTTAGTTTGCATATGCAAAACAAGTAAAGCTTAATAGACAAATTGTTTGTTAAAACCTTAATCTGAGATATCTGAATAATAGCCACTGTTTGCCACACATGATTAATAACTAAAATGTTGGGATGGCTAGCACAAAACTATGTGAATGTATCTGTGCACTATACTTAATACATTATTGGATTTAGTCTGCATTTGTCAATCTTTAAAAAGTAACCTTATTTATTTTGTGTTTGCAGGAGAGGAGAATTCACGTGTGCAGGCACACATAGAAGGAGATGAGTTTTCTGCTCATATTCTAACCGATGACGCAGAATACAATGTAGAGGTAAGGCTGTAAAATCAATCGTTGTGTAGAATCCAAACAGAGGGGGTATTGACCCTTTACCATTTTTTTGTAAGACACTTAACCCTCAGCCATTTTATCCAAGGCATTTGGCTGAAGTTTGACCGTAGAGGGTAGAGCTGGTGAAGGCTGTGATGGTCGGATCGACATAACCAAAGCCACAAAAAAAATCAAGAAAAAGGCAACCAAATGATAATTGAATACTGTGCTACAGTGTTGTACTCTAAATCTGGGAAGCTTTTCAGTGTGTGGGTGCCTTTTTCTTGATGATGCTTTTTGACATAAAAAAATGACTAAATGATTATGGGGTGGCGATAGTGTAGTGGGTAAGACACGTGCCTTTGGTGTGAGGGACCTGGGTTTGATTCCTACTACAAGGCACAGGCAACAAACAGTCTGACCATAGGGTCTGACCCGCTATGAGTATTTCTGTCACTCATTTCTGAGAAGATGATTAAGCTAGCTGCACCTAAATTTGGAGTGCACACGTATTTAAGCCACATGTAATTTACTTTACCCGACCCTCTGGCCTCAGCCCCACCCACTATGGTCTCTCCAAATCCTGTGGAAAACACTAAAAAGCACATTTTGACTATTTAATTTATGCAGTGGTAAAAAATGTGAATGTACTTGTTCGCTATTCAGCAAATTTTTTCATTATATTTGGTTTTTGCTTCGGCCAAGAATTTTCATTTCGGTGCACCCCTAGATAAAAGCATCAGCTAAATAAGTAAATGTAAAGGAGGAGAGGTGGGTAGTTTGATTGATAGTTTTGCTTTGTAGCCCAGTATATCTAACGATGAGGACATCTTGCGCAAAAAAATTGGAACTGTTCCACTCTACCACAAGTATACAGTGCATTTTGTAAGTATATTGACAGTGACACATTTTGCTCTGCCATCCAGCAAATTGGTTCTGAAATGAAACAATTACAGAGAGGACTGACTCAGCTTAATTTTGACACTGTTCTACTGCACTGTTTAAAATTCCGGGGGGGGGGTCAAAACAAAATGTGTTGCTGTCCGAGTACGTAAGGGCTATGTTGTATATAAATGTTGGTGAAGAATGAGAAGAAATGAAATGTCTACGTTGCAATAGCCAGTGACAGGCATTCCTTTTGAATTCCCTACCCCACTGCCACTACCTGGAAATGTCTTTGTATTTTCTTTTTGTTACTCCTTTTTTTTCTCCCTCCCGACCTCTACTCTCTCTGACTCCTCTAGCCCCTGTGGAGGTTTACCAATTCCCCGACTGATGGCAGGTTGCTGGTTTATCGCTCGGACGACATCAGGAACCTAAGCCGCATCATCTCCCCAAAAGTGTGTGGTTACATCCACGCAGAGGCTGAAAACTTGCTGCCACGGACTGCCAGGAGGGACTGGGACGGGCAGGAGGAGGTGGACCAGGAAAAGGGTGAGCTCTGCTGTCCGTTTCCCACGCTAGGGGTCGAGAGTCTTGCTGGGGTGTGTGTGTTCATATTTGTGCCCGTGTAGTGGAAACGTGTAGGAGGAGGATGAAGTATATAGGGGGTTGTTGAAGATCACAGATCTGGTGCAGCTTAGGCTCTGTGCTCTTGTTAGTGGATGGTAAAGAGTAGATAAAAAGTAGGAGGAGGATAACAAATGTTGAGAATGAAGGAGGCGGCTGTAGTAGTGAGACAAAGGAGGTGGGTGTTATATTCTGCAACAGTCACTTTAACAAAAGTCTTTTCATCTGTCAAACCTAGCCCATATTATGCACATACACACTGCAGACAAGTGGGGATTATGTAACAGCCAAATGCCTTTTTTTTCTCTTTTGTGCTGCTTTGGAAATGTAAAGCATGTAACACTGATAATGTGCCAGCAGAGGAATCTAAAACACCTCTTACAGGCTGCTGGTTGAAAGCACTCATTGGGGATATGAGTTGAGGTGAAGGTTCTTACGGAGGAGGCATTTAAATTCATGGAGGCACTGCTGCCCAATGAGATGACTCTGAGTCGTCACTGGTCTCCCACTGCTTGTTGTGGAAGCCAGGGCAGCACACACCCACACTTTTGAACGGCGCACAGCCAAGTGTGTGATGTAATGTTCAAATGTCTCGCTGCTTCCTGTGTCCTTTTCTGTTATTTTCCGCTTCTGACTGTTTCAAGAGTTTAGGATTTGTGAAGCTATGAGGCGTCCCTCCAGATTCCCTCCCCTATGCTTTTCTGTGGCAGTGAGATAAACATGATCCTCACTTACAGCTTCTACAATGTGAGGATTTGCATTAATTTTGCATTTGTAAACTACAAAATGTTACAATTTTAAGATGGGTTTTTTTCATCTTGTAGCCTTTAAAGGCTCTGAACCCGGGGAAGTATAGAGTCATTGCAGGGAGGAAACACATGACCAAGCGAAAAGTGGGTACATTTTTATTGTATTTAGGTTTATTATTATTGTAGTGGAAGAAATTTGTCCCTGAAATAATTGCAGTTTGAACTTGTATTGTTCTTACAATGTAACTCTTGAGAAGCATTTGTGAAAACATAATTATCAGTATATTAATTGCCTACGAAAATACTTGTTTGCACCCTTAAGCATTGCCTTTACAAAGTGAATGCATGGGCATTGCTTAATCTATTTGGTACTATGAAGTTATGTAAAACAGATCATTGTATAGAAGTGAAAACTACTGAGTACACCTCAACCTCTGCACTAGCTGGAGCTTGATTTGAATGTAACACTGTACGGTCTGTGTGTGAAATCGTTGCCTCCTTTAGCTGTCAGAATATACTGCGGACCTCGTTCACACTTATTATTATGCACTCTACTATAAAGATAAACTGCTATTTAATTCTGGCTTGAAGAATTGAAGAACGGAGGCAGAGCCTAATCAGTTCACAGGCAACAAAAAAGACAACGTGCTGCTAAATGTGAAAATGAGGGCAATTAACAGTTGGATACTGGAGCCATGGCCTCATTGTTAACTTTGTCTTGTCTTTTATGTAAGCTTACCCATGATAGTTTTGAATATTGTTACTTCTTTTGACTATGTTTCTTTCTCTACCCCTTCCAATATATCTGTCTATCTCTCTCTCACTCTTCCTGCTTCCTCCTTGTAGTTCACCACCATCGAGAGAAGAGACAGGCTCATGATCACAAGAAGAATACCTGCCCCCTGTTGCTGGTTGCAGATTATCGCTTCTTTAAACACATGGGGCGCGGTCAAGAGAGTGTCACACTCAACTACCTGGTCTGTCTTTCTGATATGGGCAAAGTCAAAATAAATTCTTGTAGTTGTGTTCATATATTACTTGAATAATTCTTGCTATATGATTGAATTGATGAATTATTTTTCTTTTCTCCCTCCAGATTGAGCTGATTGATCGAGTTGATGACATTTATAGGAACACAACCTGGGATGATGAATTCAAAGGCTACGGGGTCCAGATCCAACAGGTGTGTGTGTGCGGCTGGCTGCATGTTGTACTTCGAGTCTCACCTCTGGAACAAGTTGTGGCGTTGTATCATCAGACGTCACTGCTCCCAGCAGCATGACCGCTTTGTTTTACACCGAGTCACTCCTGGAAGTGGAGCTGAGAACAACACTGTCTCTCAGTGGGTTTGAGAAAAGCATTTTTAGGAGGAACTGAACGCTTTTGTGTGAGCTTCGTGGGGTAATTTAATTTGTTCCACAGGCTTTGGGAATGAATGGAGACACTGTTTTGTCAAACTGAGTTTGGGGTTTTCTCACTGAAAAGATATGCATTCATTCAGCTATACAGAGTTAGTTTTCTTTTTTTTTTTACACCATACATGTCAAGAAGAATCCCAGTACATTAAAAAAAGGAAAAATGGTTTTAGGACTTGAATGTAAACCCTAAAGCATGATGCTGACTTGAGTCACATTGTCCCCTCTACCTATAAAGCTATTTTTACTGCAGTAATGCTACTTTTACTTATGTGAGTAACACTTTGGACAAACTATGTTGCAGTTTAATGTAAAATAATTTATTATTCATCAGTATTTGAGGGACAAAGGGAATCTAATACACAGTATACAGGTGCTGGTCATAATTAGAATATCATCAAAAGGAAACTTGTATAATGTATACATTCATTCCACACAGACTGATATATTTCAAGTGTTCATTCCTTTTAATTTTGATGATTATAACTGACATCTAATGAAAACCCCAAAATCAGTATCTCAGAAAATTAGAATATTGTGAAAAGGTTCAATATTGAAGACACCTGGTGCCACACTCTAATCAGCCAATTAACTCAAAACACCTGCAAAGGCCTTTAAATGGTCTCTCAGTCTAGTTCTGTAGGCTTCACAATCATGGGGAAGACTGCTGACTTGACAGCTGTCCAAAAGACGACCATTGACACCTTGCACAAGGAGGGCACAAAGGTCATTGCTAAAGAGGCTGGCTGTTCACAGAGCTCTGTGTCCAAGCACATTAATGGAGAGGCGAAGGGAAGGAAAAGATGTGGTAGAAAAAAGTGTACAAGCAATAGGGATAACTGCACCCTGGAGAGGATTGTGAAACAAAACCCAGTCAAAAATGTCGGGGAGATTCATAAAGAGTGGACTGCAGCTGGAGTCAGTGCTTCAAGAACCACCACGCACAGACAGCTGTCGCATTCCTTGTGTCAAGCCACTCTTGAACAAGACACAGCGTCAGAAGCATCTCTCCTTGGCTAAAGACAAAAAGGACTGGACTGCTGCTGAGTGGTACGAAGTTATGTTCTCTGATGAAAGTAAATTTTGCATTTCCTTTGGAAATCAAGGTCCCCGAGTCTGGAGGAAGAGAGGAGAGGCACAGAATCCACGTTGCTTGAAGTCCAGTGTAAAGTTGCCACAGTCAGTGATGGCCATCACTCAGTCATGTCATCTGCTGGTGTTGGTCCACTGTGTTCTCTGAGGTCCAAGGTCAACGCAGCCATCTACCAGGAAGTTTTAGAGCACTTCATGCTTCCTGCTGATCACCAACTTTATGGAGATGCAGATTTCATTTTCCAACAGGACTTGGCACCTGCACACAGTGCCAAAGCTACCACTACCTGGTTTAAGGACCATGGTATCCCTGTTCTTAATTGGCCAGCAAACTCGCTTGACCTTAACCCTATAGGAAATCTATGGGGTATTGTGAAGAGGAAGATGCGATACGCCAGACCCAACAATGCAGAAGGGGCTGGAGGCCACTATCAGAGCAACCTGGGATCTCCTAACACCTGAGCAGTGCCACAGACTGATCGACTCCATGCGACGCCCACATTGCTGCAGTAATTCAGGCAAAAGGAGCCCCAATTAAGTATTGAGTGCTGTACATGCTCATACTTTTCATGTTCAACATTTCTAAAAATACTTTTTTTGTATGGGTCTTAAGTAATATTCAAATTTTCTGAGTTACTTAATTTGGGATTTTCATTAGTTGTCAGTTTTAATCATCACAATTAAATGAAATAAACATTTGAAATACTGTGTATCAGTCTGTGTGTAATGAATGAATATAATATCCAAGTTTCATTTTTTGAATGGAATTACTGAAATAAATCAACTTTTTGATGATATTCTAATTATATGACCAGCACCTGTATGTCTTTATATCTAGACTATGAAATGTTTTTATGTAACAACAATTATGAGCCAGTATGCAAAGATTTGTTTAAATTCTTTAAAAAAAAAACATTATTCTGTAATAACACATGATGAATTGTTCGTAAACGGTGTCTGTGGTTACCATTCGCAGATCATCATCAACAAGGAGCCTACAAAGCCTCCCCCTGGCCATGCTGGCTCTGACTGGGTACACTACAACATGGAGAACAGCCCCAGAGGAAGGGAGGTGTGGGATGTGAAGAGACTTCTGGAGGTAAGAGAGAGACGGAGTGAAAGATGGATTGTCAGACAGAATGACAGGATATGTCTAGATACACAAAATGTGTAGCAACAGTATGTCGGTGTGAGAGAGGAAGTTTGGGAAAGAATATCAAAATTATGTTCTAGGTCAGAGGTTTTCAAAATGTGAGGCCCTCAGGGAGGCTCCAAACTATTTCAGGGGAGGCTCATTGAATGGAAGGGAAACAATGTTACATAAGATTTCCAAAGGAGATCACATAGAAGAGCCTACATATGTGTGATTTAGTTAAAGAGAGTTCAGAGATTCAGTAGTTTTGGGGAACTGTTTTTCCCACTTTAGAGTCAGAAACTAATAACTACCTTAGGACGGACCTTTTTTATGTTTTTGGTGCTGTCTGAAGTTATGTCAAACAGCATGTCCGATATGTTGGCTGAATTTTTGAGTCTCTATGTGATCAAATAACATAAGCATAATCCCATAGATATCCAGGAATTGAGCGAAACTAAGCTAGTGAAGTAAAGGCCTAGTTCACGCTACACGATTTTAAGACCTGTTTGCACGTCGCCTAGCTTGCGGACCGTCGGGCTGTGATCGGGGGAAAATCTGCGATCAATCGGCACATGCCAGTCGTCGGCCGACTTGACATCCACATCCAGTCAATGATAGTAGGCAGCTGGCAGAGCTACACTACAAACATTTTTTACCCACCTTCAACTCTCTCTGCAGCACAGACAATCCCTGCTGCCCGCGTGTGCTTATCCATTCCTTCACCCATATCCTTTTTCTTATATAATGGTATAATTTTTATAATCGTTTATAATAATAAACAAGTCCAGTTTGGCGCATAGTTTCGCGTCATTATCACAATGAGTTTTTTTTTATTATTATTATTTTTTTTATGTAAGTAAAACCTTATTGAAAAGGGCTCATTCTGCAGTGTCTTTGTAAAACAAGGAATACAACAAATTTTGACATACACTAATGTTGGTAAATAAAGGTTCTCTTTGTGTCCCACAGCAATTCAGCTCAGACATAGCTGACAACGCCTCCGCTGTGTGTCTCGCCCACCTGTTCACTTACCAGGATTTTGATGAGGGCACACTGGGGCTGGCCTACGTGGCCCCCTCCAAACCTCTGGCCCTCGGCGGCCTCTGCCCAAAACGTAAGTACATCTTATCTCTTGATAAGTGTAAAGACATCTACATGGTACAAACTAGCAACCATCCTACATTACTAGTATATGGTTAATGTAGGCTGAGTTGAATCTGTATCAGTGAAATATTTTATAATGGAATGACACTTTGCTCTGTTTTGTTGCTTGTGTGTCATTTTTGAAAGAGACCATCTTTGTTGCAGTGTCAACAAAAATCTGTTACATTCATGTGCACTGTCGACATGGAACTGTGTGTTGGACACCCGGGCTTTTTGAAAGCAAAACCCGATACTGACATCATTCTTTGATTGTGTGATTTTTGTAGCATACTACCCATCTCACTCTGTAAAGAAGCCAAGTTACCTCAACACCGGCCTGACCAGCACCAAGAACTATGGCAAAACCATCCTAACAAAGGTCTGTTTTAATTTTCAGTCTTCATCTTTGACAAAAGTTATGACATGGTGCACTCAGGTTTTACTCAGGATGTTATGCAATATGTCACCAAGCCAAGTTTAGATTCTAAGTAGGCCAGACACACCTTTTTGTGTGGGTGTTATGAGTATTGATGTCAACTTGGTTGCATTTTGAAACCTCAGGTTGCTCCTCTGCACAGTTTCTATCTGAGTTGGGAGGAAGTTTTGGGATTTGGGGGGGCTATTTCTTGAGAGTGCATCTCTAGCCTCTGTGAATAAATAAATGTTTCTGTCAGTGAAATATTATGACTAGTAGTTAAACACCAGCATCTTTGTGTTGAGTAGAGACATGTTGTCAGTCCAACATTGCTTGATGGATGATCTGATATTTAAAGCAAATATATCTGGTCTGCTCTGTTCAGGAAGCAGATTTGGTGACCACTCATGAGCTGGGCCATAACTTTGGAGCAGAGCACGATCCTGACAACATCCCTTTTTGTGCACCCAGTGACGACCATGGGGGGAAGTTTGTCATGTACCCAATCGCTGTGAGCGGAGACCATATCAACAACAAGGTACCTGGCTGCCCAGATAAAAAGTGGTGTTCAACTTAAACATACAACAGGATACAACAGAAGCATTACGATGTAGGAAGGTATATAACAACCTCGTTATGTCATCCTGCTGATGTAATCGCTGACGTAATCTGTCCTCTGCGCATGCGTCTGTAGCGACCTGTCGGAAGCTCCGCGTTAAACCTGACTCTTATAACCGTTTTAATCCACACTTTTACATTACATTTTTTAAATCCTTTTATCTAACTTAAATGGGTTAAGGATTTTAGTCGTCCGACATGGATTCTAAACTAGATGAGTGTAAAAACGCTATGAACGCTACTGATCACAACAAAGCTCCGCCGACTAACGTTATGCTAGCCGAGATAACACTGCCCCATGAGGACTGCACACTCCTTAAGAAAGCGAACAAAATGATTGCTGACCTTATGGAAGACATCCGACGACTTTCAGAGGAACTCAAAGAGAAAGATTCCCTGCTGACTGGCTTTATGGATGTGGCTGCCTCTCCTCCGCACATCAGCCTCTCCAACCGCTAACTTCTTAAAGCTGTGTGGAAAGTCCGTTTTTATCTCTGGTCCCATTCCCACAGTTGGTCGCGGTGCTGGCCGCTTCAGTAGACTCCTTGGCCTCCACGACTGGCTCCAGTCCGCCTGCAGGGCTCACGGTTTGTGTTATGTTGATAACTTTAATATTTTCTGGCAAAGAATGTCTCTTTTTAAGACAGACAGACTTCACCCAAACAAACGGGGCTCAGAAATGTTAGCTGCTAACATACAGCATGTGGTGCGGTCCACACATGACTTAAGTGAATGACTAATCGTTCACGCAGCACACCTGGACACACCACTGCTCACTGAACAGATCTCTACCTCACTGCCACAAACAACTGTCTCCACCTGCTGGCATATAAAGCCGTCTTCTACCAGCGCTGTTCCAAAGACTTCTATTCCTGTCATCATCACGCATAGACCAGTAAACCGAAATGTGCACTTCACACACAGAAATCATAGTAATCTTATAAGGATTAGGACAACTGCACCAACTCCAGCACCCAAAACAAACTCGTTTAAAATGGCTCTCTTCAATGTGAGATCACTGTCAAGTAAGACTTTTATCTTAAATGATTTTATCTTGTCTGCAAATTTAGATTTTATGTTTTTAACTGAATCATGGTTGCAATTGAATGACTAAAGCTAGCTAGCTGAACTGTGTCCGCCTAAATATGATTGTTTTAGTCAACCGAGGGTCAGTTGTTGTGGTGGTGGGCTAGTGAGCGTGTATAGGAAAAATTTTAAATGTCATCAAGTACGCTGTGATGAATTTAACTCCTTTGAAGTTCTCACTCTAAAACTTGGAGGGCTGCAACCTATCATATTTGTTATAATTTATCGCCCCCAAAACCGCCTGGAGGATTTTTATCAGAACTTCCTGAATTTTTATCTATTCTGGTTTTAAATTATGACAGAATTGTTCTTTGTGGCGATTTTTAATATTCATGTTGATGACCCCAACAATGTTAATGCAACTGACTTTTAAATATGGCCACTTCTTTTAACTTCAAACAACATGTCATAGGGCAAACACATAACCGTGGTCATACACTGGACTTGGTTTTTACCCTGGGTGTCAGCATTTCCTCTGTGGAATTAGTGGACATGACCATATCTGTTTTTAGCTGCGATTCGCCTGTTACTCATGCCGCCTCACCAAGCTCCGTGTGTTCTCGCATCTTTAATGAACAAAGTGTTTCAAAGTTTTGCGCATTCTTTCAGAGCCAAACAACCAACACCAACACCAACACCTGTCTGATTCCAACACCAACAATCTGGGCGATCATTTCAATCATATCTGCTTGTCGTCACTAAATATTACTGCTCCTCTAAAGGTTAGGCCTATGTCTAAAGCTAGTAAGCAACCCTGGATAAATGACAACATTCACAGCCTAAAAAGGGAATGCAGGAAAGCAGAGCGCAGATGGAAAAAATCCAGTCTCCAAGTCCATTACCACAGTCTGAAGGATTTATTAATTAACTACAATAACATGCTTAAGGATGCGAGAACACATTATTTTTCTGAACTCATTACTACAAATAAACACAATCCCAGGTTTCTGTTTAAGACTGTGGATCAGCTGGTAAACCCAACCCCTCCTTGTGCCTCAGCTGGAAGTAATGATGACTGTGAATTGTTTTTATCTTATTTTACCAATAAGGTTGTGTCAATCAGAGCCTCTATTACCCCCGCGGCCTCTTACTCGGAGGTTCCTCACCAGCAACAAGAGAGTTTTAACCAGTTTTATCCCATTGACTTGTCTGAGCTTTTGAAAACAATATCACAAATGAGAGTGTCCTCCAGCCCACTTAATGTAATACCTACAAAGTTTTTACTGAAAGTAATGGATTCTGTTGATCTCGGTTTTTAACAGCTCCCTATCTACTGGTTGTGTCCCTGATTATTTTAAAACGGCTTGCGTGAACCCACTTTTAAAGAAGCATAGCACTGAGACTGCGCTGCTTAAACTCACCAATGACCTTTTAATGTCTGCTGATGAAGGCATGTGTTCTGGTACTCCTGGACCTTAGCGCTGCTTTTGACACCATTGATCACAACATCATGTTAGACAGACTGAGACACTGCGTGGGGATCTCTGGTACTGCCCTAGAATGGTTTTCATCCTACCTGTCAAATAGGAAGTTTTGCGTGTCTGTAAACAACTGTCTCTTCGTTCTGTCCAGTTAAATATGGTGTGCCTCAGGGGTCGGTCTTAGGAACAGACCCTGGAATGCTGAGTTCACTTAACTGCCTTTGTGAAGTTAGAAAATGGATGTCAAATAATTTCCTCCAGCTGAACTCAGACAAAACAGAAATCCTGGTCATCGGGTCTCAGCAGATGGCAAAACAAATACTGCCATCTGCTGGTTCCCTAGTAAATCATATTAAGCCTGTTGCACAGAACCTTGGTGTTTGGTTTGATAGTAAATTAAATTTTGAGCAGCACACCACAAAGCTTGTTCAATCATGTTTTTATCAACTTAGAAATATAGCAAAAATTCAATCTATGTTAACTTTTAAGGACACCGAGACCATTTTACACGCCTTCATCTCATCACGCCTGGATTATTGCAACAGCCTTTTCACTTGCTTAACCCAAAAATATACTGATCGACTCCAGACTGTCCAGAACTCAGCTGCCAGGCTTTTAACCAGAACAAAGAAATATGACCACATTACCCCTATTTTAGCTTCACTACACTGGCTCCCAGTATGTTTTAGAATTGACTTGAAAATTTTATTGATCACTTTTAAAGCTCTTCATGGCCTCTCGCCTTGTTATATTTCCGACCTTTTAGTCCCATACACACCAGCACGTACCTTGAGATCCTCGGGCAGAGGTCTGTTGTCTGTTCCAGACTCTCGACTGAAAACTAAAGATGACAGAGCGTTTGCTGTCAGGGCCCCGAGGCTCTGGAACAGCCTGCCCGGGGAAATCAGGTCGGCTGAGTCAGTGAACTCTTAAGTCCCTTCTTAAAACATACTTTTATAGGAGAGCCTTTCCCAATCTTATTTGACTTTATTTTATCCCTTTTATTTTGTTCTATTTTACTTATTTTATATTTACCATAAACGTGTATTTTAGCACTTTGTAACTTGTTTTTGAAAAGTGCTCTACAAATAAAGATTATTATTATAACAAGCTACTCAGACAGTTCTGAAGAAGCACTGAGTTAATGAGGCAAAGTGTGATAAGAAGTGTGAATGCCATTCCTAAGTGAGTTGCTTAATCTACAGAGTGTTGGATAAATGTGAGTCACAGTTGTTCCTGTGAAATGTAATGACAGACAGTAAATAAATTGTACCTCCTCTGACGTCAGCCTTAACAGCTAATATGCACATCACTTTTGCTGCAGTTTAATTGTAAAAAGTGCTGCTGTTTATCTAAGCAAGGGTTAAAACGAAATCTTGAACCACATCAGTACGCATCAGTAAAAAAGCATACAAAGGCCATGAAAATGTTTGCGTGGCTGTAAATGCATGCATTGTTTTGTCATTAAGGATAAACTCGTCGCAGGTAGAAACACCATTGTTTCACTAACTTTGTATACATGTTCCATGTAATTGCTTTTTCATCAGAAAAAGCTTTACATCTGTTCTAATATGTTAGCTTCACAGCAGTCACATTGTCACATCGTCTTTCACAGCTGAACATAAAGAATCTACCCCTAGATAATAAGCTCTGTCTACTTCCCCTTCCCTCCTAAAGCGTTTCTCCAACTGCAGCAAGATCTCCGTAGGAAAGACGTTACGTTTTAAGGCTCCCTTGTGCTTCATAGAGAGGAACAGTAAAGTATGTGGGAACTCCAGAGTGGAGGATGGGGAAGAGTGCGACCCCGGGTTACTCCACCTCAACGATGACCCCTGCTGCTCATCCGACTGCAAATTCAAAGGTGGTGCACAGTGCAGGTATGAGATCCAAACAATAGATCACTTGTACAAAATCCACTTGTCAAGTCTAAATACATTCTCAAACACTGGATTCATTGATTGAACTTAAGATGTCTGAAAATCTTTGTTCTAGTTTGAGTCACATATGTCTCTGTCTCCACAGTGACAGAAACAGCCCTTGCTGTAAGAATTGCAAGTTTGAGCAGGCTGGAACAAGGTGCCAGGAACCCATTAGCGCTACCTGTAAAGGCATATCCTCCTGCACAGGTGAGCGCCTCCTGCTGGTGTAATGCAAGAACTGCAGCGACCACTTGAAGGCTGTTTTCTTCTGTGTTTTGTACCTTTTTTAAAATGATAAATTGTTAATACCTTGAAAACTACAACTCCCTACCCTTTCTTCAAGTCAGGCAACAGCAGTCAATGTCCACCTCCTGAAAACGCTGCTGACAACACCGTGTGTGTTGACAACGGCCGATGTCGCAATGGAGAGTGCAACCCCTTTTGTGAGGCCATGCAGAATCTTCAGTCCTGTGCATGCAACGGTAAAGACCAGTACATTTGTCACAAGATTGAGGAATGAAATGTGCAAAAGTCACACAATTAGGAAAGCTTCAAGAGGTTTGTCCGACTAATGTTGTGGATCCTGCCAGTCTGACTGTAAAACTGCAGATTCCCAGTGATCATGGAGGTCCCGGAGAAGTTTAAACCAGACAGACAAAATTAGGAAATGTAAAGAAAAGAAATGGAAATCATACCTTGAAAAATTCAAGTATGATAAGAATTTTGTTTAGTTGAGATTAAAAAAATATAATCCTTTCATAGATGTATTGTAGGAATATGTTGTCAGTTAAGCACGAAGACAAACTCCCAGGAAGACGCATGTTTTGTGTATGTGGGGAAAAAAACACCAGCACTTGTGTTACGTGGCAAATTTCATATTTGAACTTTAGTTGAAGGATTGGAAGGTCCACTGGTGGATGTAGAAAATCCCACAAGCCCTGGGCTCATGAAACCCTTTAAAAAAGTTAAACAAACTCATTCCGGGAAAGTTGACATTAGACAAAAGATTTTTCTGGATGGCAGTGGCATATTAAAAATATTTTAGGAGATGAACATGTCTGAATGAATGACTCCAGTCTGAATTAATCTTTCAATCTCTGTTCTGAAAGTGAATGTGTGCACTGCCCCTATTAATGGAGGGTCCTGTCTTCTGTTTGCAGCTACAGAGAACTCCTGTAAAGTGTGCTGCAGGGGAAAAGATGGCACTTGCTCTCCTTTCCTCCAGACCAATGGCAGTTTCCTTTTCCTTCGCAAAGGAAAACCCTGCACTGTGGGCTTCTGTGACGGGGCCGTGAGTCACCAAATCTTTTATATCTGTCCACTCTCCAGACAGAACTCTAGCTGATCCTCCCATTTCCGTCATGTTTAGTATTTTCCTGTCACGCTCCAGCACTGACGGGGCTTACAAAATTGTACAAAAGTCACAATGAGTTCATTGATTTTTGCTTTATTTGACTGTTTGGAGAGCGTCAATTTTCTCTTTTTAAAACAGGGAAAGTGCATGAAGCAGGTGCAGGACGTGATCGAGAGGTTGTGGGATTTTATCGACAAACTGAATATTAACACATTTGGTAAGCTGGTTAGAACAGGCCACTTTCAAATCTATATATATATCTAGTATTTGGAAAGTCAGTCGTTTGTGTTGTTGCTAATGACTATAGTACCTGAGTTAAGTTCAAACCTGATTTGTTGCTTAAACTTCGGCTTTCTGTTTGTTTGGTTTTTTTATCTACCACCGTCCTCAACGCCGCTTCTTTACCAGGGAAGTTTCTGGCTGATAACATTGTGGGCTCTGTCGTGGTGTTTTCCCTCGTCTTCTGGATTCCTCTCAGTATCCTGGTTCACTGCGTGGTAAGAAACAGCTGGACATCCAGTTACACTATTTCCTGCATACCATTAACTGCTCCTTTTTAGGATTCTGTAACTCTGTGGTTGAAGTTAAATCGCTTCTTCACCCGCTACGTTAAAGCCCTGTCCTTTTGTGTTTATTTCTGCAGGACAAAAGACTCGACCAGCAGTATGAGGAGAACACAAAGTCCTTCTTTTACCCTCCAAGCGTAAGTTTCTCATCTCTTGTATGCCCATATATGATCCTGTGCACTAGCCTTGCTGCCACACTAACCAACTAATACAACGTTACTTTTTTAAACACACTGACATCTTTAATGACGGAGGGAGAGGCGAGCATGACGGTTAATTGTTCACGTTGGAGGTATTTGCTCTTTATATATTCACCATTAAACTAGGTGTTACAATTCAGCAAGTATCCTGCAGAGAGGAAATTAAATAAGTTTCAATGATAAACAATAAAATAAGAATTTACTATTTTATGTATTTGCACGTGCACCAAACGTATCTCTACCATGTTAAACTGTTTGTTTTTTTTATTAAAAAGCTAACAAATTTACAAAATCCAGAATCTTAAAAGTAGCAATATAACTTTATAAATAACTTTTTGTTATTTATATTAAAGGTCCTTAAAAAAATTTAACTACATTAAAACTTTTACTAGCAACTTACGAGTACACAACATAATGAGCTACAGTTCAAACACAAATTTAGAAAATGTTGCTGTTCCTTACTTCTGTGCACCAATCAGGATTTAGCAATTTTTGAATTAAAACAGTTGTTTGCTTGTTGTTAAACACTTGATGATCCCCAGATTGTCTCAAAAATGTTACTTTGATTGTTCTTTATTTAGTCATATATTTTAAATGTTGTGGAAAAAAGTAGGATTTGAAACCAGGTTTTCCGAGACTTTAAGAAATGCTGTTTGTGCCGCCACAAGAGCAATGCCTCAATTTGTAATCTGACAAAATATTTATTGTCTCTCTGACATTCAATGTATGCTACTACAAACCATTCATACTCTTTAACTTAATAAACATGTTTGTAACATCATTCCCAAGGCGGTCCTGAGAAATCTGGTTCTAAATTGATTCAAGCCTTGAAAATAAGAGCAGAGCAAGAGCAGGACACAAATGCATTTAGAATCCCGAGGAAAAAGCTCTAACTTGAAGCAGTGTGAACTTGTGGTCAGGTTATCTGTCAGTAAGGGCCTCGCTCTCCCTGCTCACTTTAAGCTGCGAATGACCTGTCCATCACTCTTTGCCTTGGCCCTTTCTGTTCTCATTGGAACTGCAGCAGATGGTGGAAGTTTGTAGTAGAGCTCCCGCCATAGGTGAGTGTGTGTGCCATGGTTTGGTGTTGCGAATTGCGTTGCCATTAGGTCCATGATGATGCATGGTCGGTGGCCCACGTTTGGGATACTCCTGCAGTCTCTTACTCCTTGATGTAATCGCTGATCTGGTCATTATTTCCAGCCTCCTCAGACTCACCGGCGTCTTTTAATCTGAGAGATGACATGAGAGAGGCTCAAACTAAAACGGTTCAATGTGAACAAAGCTATAAGTGTGTTTCTCTGTACAGACATCGGCCGTGCAGAGTCGTATCCGATCAGAGGTCACCTCAAGGAAGGCAAGATTGCATTTGAGGAGTATTCAAACAGAGAGAGGACTGTGCAGGCTGCACCTTGTTGTCTTTTGTGAAATCCGATGCAGTGTGTGTCAGTATTTTAAGTTTGCATCTGCTGCTGACATGAAGAGGGTAACGTCCTTTAGGTGATCGTTGTTTTTATTTCTCCTTTCTTTTTCTTTTTTCAATGGCTGTCTTCTTCACTGTGTCAAGTCCTTCTTAGGTTTGAAACACGTGGAGACTGAGGGCACATTCCTCTATAGACTTTTCACATGGCAGACATTTTGATTTGTAGTAGCAGGAAAAGTGCCGGAGCAACTAATTAATGATGGCTTAATTCCATTTAGGTATGACAGGAAGTCCTGCAAGTGAGCCAGCATGCACAATAGCAGGGTCCTTGTGCTTCTAAATGGACTGCAGCCATTATTAATATTAGTTACACCTCTGTTTGACAACTCAAGATGTCCACTGTGAGAAATGTTCGTTTTACTCATTCCCTTTTTTAAAGGGGGTATTGGGGATGATAATGGGGTGGAGGTAGCAGATAGCTCTTACTAAATTTGAGGAAACATCTTTACGGTTTTGGTAAACTATTTCTGGATAAAGTATGAAGATCAGGAGAAATATCTGATGCAGAATGGAGTAAAAAGGGAATGGATCCCATCTCAGTCAGACCGTTTAGACGCTTTGACGTGCTTCAGTCTCACGTGTTGTTTTTGCTCTTCAGAGTCAAGAAATGCTGAGCAACCTCGAGTCGGCGTCCGTGCGCATCGTCAAGCCTCCTCAGCCTCCCTGCTCCTCCGCCGGCCCGACCGCGCCCTCCTCCCTGCCCCTGCAGCATCAGCAGCTGAGCCAGCTCGGGGCACCTCCCGCGGCAAGCAGCAGTACCCAGGCCCCCGGCCCGAGCTGCGGCCCCACCCCGGACAGCGCAGGGGGGCTGCGGATGGCCACCATCCAGGAGGACACCAGCAGCGACTCTCACCTGGGAGAGGAGGGCCTGTCGGACGATTTCACAACCGCAGGAGCCTGCTCGTTGGCTACGAAATCCTCCTACGAGGATCTGACAGAACAGAACCTGCCAGCCAGGGACCGGCGGCGGCTCAAGAGGCAGGACTGCATTGACACTAAAGAGACCGAGTGCTGAAAGTAAACCACCAGTACTGATACGTGTTTTAGGGAACATGCAAATATCAACCGTATCTGTTGAAAGGTAAAAGCATACGTGTTTTGTAGGTCAGTGTACGGCAACTCTAGATGTGGATGTTAATCAGCCAGCTGTAATTTGGATTTAAGCACCACCATACGAGTAATACACAAGTAGTGTTAAATCCCTGTCACTGCAAATAAATTAGTTACTGAATTCAGGTTTTTGTGTGCCTGTGGTAAAATAAAGCTGTGTCTTTTTCAGTTAGGGTTTCCTTGACCAGATGAAGCCTTCAGGATCAGAGTAGGTCTGTGAGATTTAATCCACCGCAGCCCTGTTGCCATCACACATTAGTTCAGTTATCTTTTTGTCATAACCCATTGGCTAAATGGTTTCTGAATACGCATTAAAAAATTATTTACATATCATATTACAAAATATCACAGTGAACCCAAGGCTCTATCCGATTTTGCCAGTGTGTCCTGTTGTCAAAGATTGTGGATCATGTTGTTTGTTTTTGTTTGTTTTTTAAAAAAGCATCACATTAACAGCCTTAGCCTCGCCCACCGCCTTCCCAGAAGTACTGTGTTCATAGCAATGCAACTCACCCATTTGCTCCACTCCATATTAATGTATCTGTGGTTACTTTCCCGTGAAAGGAAACATTTCAGTGTGATATATTAAGCAGCAAACACTTAACGTTGACTTAAAAATGTTTCATCTTGAATCTGTCATAACTGCGCTAGTAACACATCACTGGATAATTGAAATAATTTGTACATGTTTTTACTGTGCTGTGTCATCAGTGGTTTGTTGTTAAAAATTACAGCCTTATATAATATTTTGACCCCCCTTGTATTTGGGATACAACATTTTAATACTGTGCAAGGAACGAGGGGTTGTCTCTTACGTCAGTATTACACTTATTGTATTCGTCCATCTGTTGAAACTAAGAGATGTTGCAAGACTCTAATAGAATGATGGTTATTTTTTGTCATGTATTCTTTCTGTCTGGTTTATCCCTCTATGAAACGACATGGTGCCTTTTCTGATTTTTGTGCCTAACCGTCCCAGTAGATGAACATGAGTCTGAACAATCCTGAATTTAATTTGAAAAGAAACCGGAGAAGGTGCTCAATGTTATTTTTCCGCTTGGGTCTTCTGTGCCAATGTGAGTTCTGCGCCTCTTCCTCTTATTTAATGCGCTCTCACCACTGTTGCCTGCTGTGTCACGTGTTAAAATAGTGAAAAATGTATTAACAGTAGGTCAAGGAAAAAAAATAAACTGTGTAGCTAACATTGACTTTACTGGATGAATGTGAACTGATACAAAAACAGACAGATGTCCTGTGTCATCTGTTCTGATGTGTATATTCTTAATGTTTAAAAATGTCCACCCTTGAGTTACTTTTTTGTTTCTGTTAACTACACACCTCAAAATAAAAATCTTTATTGTGCATTTTAAACTTGAATACATGGTCTTGCATTTGACATATACACATCACAGCTGCTTCATGGTTTCATAACCGGAATGCAGTCGTGTCTGGCTCGCAGTTTAACAAGTGCAACACATGAATGCCGCTGAGTGTTATGTTCTCCACAGAATAATCAGCCTTGTAGGACCTTAATGGAAGATGTTTTTCCAAACGTCCTCTCCTTCACTGGTCACAGAGGAGGCTGCTCTCGGGGCTCTTGGCATCGATGTCTCCCCAGTAGGGCAGGAGGAAGGGAAGGTCAGTCACACGACTCTCCAGAAGCCTCCACAGCTGCTCAGCCACAAATTTGTTTCCCTTCTCTGAGAGATGCAGTCCGTCAGACAGGTAGGCTGTGTAGTCCTGTGAAGCAGAGGACAAAACAGGATGTTTGATGCCACAGGAAGACTTCTGTTAAATTATGAATTTGGAGAAAAATAATAGGGTATAATGGCGAATCTAAATACTTTGTCTGGTCACTTCCATTCTTTTAGTTTGTCTCAAATATGACAAAAAAGAAAATGTTTGAAACATTTAAGGACACCATATTGACAACATATACTATATTTACATAGAGTCGTAAATGTCCTACAACAACAAAAACAACATGCAGCAGTGACCATGATGAGTACTACCCACCTGTCCATCTTTCTGCATGAGTGTCCAGAGGTCCAAGACGTCTGTACCACACTCGCCAGCAGTCTGGACGCACGCCTGGGCATACTGGCCAGCAACAGAGTTGTGGCGATTGAGAGCACATCCTGGGTAATAAACATGAAGCATTCATGATCTCTGTAGGCCTGTAGAGTAAAAATGGTCTGCGTGACGAGGAGAGAAACACTGTGAATGAATGTTACCTTTCAAAATGCACTCCTTCTCCCAGGCTGGCTCATGAAGAGGTGGAGGAGTGATGAAGATGACTCTGTCTGCTGACACTCCAGCTGACGCCAGGAGCCTGGTGATCGCCTTCAGGTTCTCTGAATATTCCTGCAGGGGGACGTGCTGTTGGGGGTTTTTATCTTCATGACAGGAACAGACAAAAGGAGGCAAAATCATGCACAAACATTAGGATATGATGGTTGATTATTAGTGACAATATTTTTATGCAAACATTTTCAATTAGTCATTTTGGATAATCCCAAGAAGCCCGAGCAGTGGATGACATCTGAAGACATTTAGGATAGTTCTCCAGTGATTCAGTCTTGCACTTCCATAAGATCCAAGTTCCAAACATAGCTTCTTGCCTGGTAAATATCCACATCTTTTAAAGCAGGGTTTGAGTATGGAAAAGTGACAAAATTTGATGAACTGAATGTACTAAAAATGCTTGATTTTTTTTGTATGCTTTTTGTTGCACTGTATTGTCCCACAATTCAATGCACTAAGGAAACAAAGGTGGTTCTCACACATTCAATATTTGGAAAACCATTTTGCTTTCTCTGGTCCAATGTAGGCTGATTGCCACTGGTGTTTTAAAGTTGCGGCTTGGCGTCCAAAAGGCACATATTGAATCATATATGATTAAATTTTATTATATTGTATTGTAGTGATAAATAAACAAAGTAACACAAACAAATATTCACACAAAATATTCCTAAAAAACTAAGAAAAAAAGCACAGAGATCCCTACTCAGATCAATCAAATAGAGAGTTACTGAACTTCTTAAATTGTCTGTACAGGTTCTGTCAGTGAAGTTTTACCTTCCAGTGCGCAGTCGTTGGCTCCAAAGAAGACAGTGACAGCAGCTATGTTGTTGTCTGCTGGGTTTTGGGTGTCGATGAGGCGAGGAAGAACTATCTTGGCCCATCTGGAGTTGTAGCCAGACAGTCCTCTGTTTTCAACATCGCACGTTCTGAAGGCAAAACACGTCATATTCAGATATAAGTGAAAGGCACATCAATTTGGTTGTTTACAAAACTATCACATCAACACAATTTCTGTTCATAACTCTGGACTGTTACTGAAACCTGAGGTGTTTATGCGAAATTTAAATTAACAGCTAATATGTGAGAACTACTTACCTTGCTAATTTGTTGGCAATTTCTGCACCCCAGCCATTGGCTTGAAAGGAAAACTGAAAGAATCACAGCATTGTGTTTTTAATGGCATAACTTACTGAAGCTAGCAAGCTAGCAGCTACTGCTAAATAACTGAGTAGCAGACGGTATGCAGAAAAATATTACAGTCCTTAAAGATCAATTATCTAGCAGGAGCTGACCTGTGTGATGGAGTCCCCAAATAAAATCACTTTAGGCCAAATTACTGTTTTGTACTTGGACATCTTGAAAAAGAAAGTAGGAACTGACAGCAGAACAACCCGAACTTCCGGTTAAGGGGAGCCGGGGTGTGTTACCATACTTCACAATAAAAGTCTAAACATCATGACTTTTTCTATATTTACTTTTTTCTATAATTATGCATTTTGATTTTAGCTAGATAGATACAATTATATAATATAAACCAATAAAAAAACTGTATTCTCATCATTATATTTTGCAAGCCCATTTCTATAAGGAAAGCTAAAAAAATAGAAATGTGTGAATGACTGAGTAAATATGAATTACGAGTTATTGACTTACTATTGCATAAATTTTGTGCATTTAAGTTAAAATCTTTCTAAATATCACATTATTACCTCGAAAGTCAAAATTTGGAGGGTTGGCTAAATCACAGAAACACCTTTCTATATAACGCAATACCAGTAAGGACATCCTTCTAACTTTCTTGAAGGTATGATTTATTGCAGGACTGTTCAGGACTGTGCATTTCTTTCTTGAAGTAGCTCATATGATTAAATTTAATCATATAAGATGATGAATTTGCATAATTCTTGCAGTTTTGCGGTTGTTTGAATGCACTTATTGTAACTCACTTTAGATAAAAGTCTTCTTAATAAATGTAATGTAATATGACATATTATGCATATCTGCATTAAACGTTTGGTTAATGGCTGCACACAACCATAGACTGTATAGAAGAAGTACAACAGTACATCACAACTTTGATTTGACTTCTTCATACCCACCACTGGGGGCGCTGTAGTCAGACCAGCCTCCCTCCGCAACACGGAAATCAGCTGTCTTTTCGCTCCCCGTAAACATGGCGGAGGTCAGGCATCGTCTTGGAAGGGGGACGTACATCTTTGCACACAAATTATGTAAACGCTACCTCTTGCAAAGTCTGAACAAACAGGGCACAAATGCAACTCGGGCTTCGTCTCTGTCAGCGGGGTTCCTGTTGGGTGACATTCAAAATGGCGAACTGTTTGGAGCCGTTGGAGTCTCACAGGACGGTTTCATAAGGGTAACGCCACTGCATGGGACTGGTAATGTCTGGGGAGACGGAAATGTCGCTGAATATTATTATCTTGGACTTAACAAAGAGTATTCACTCCCAAACAAGACACAAACTCAAAATATAGAAAGAAATATCTCTGTTTATAGGAATAATGCTAAGTTTCGGAGGACTGGCTGCACCATCAGGTCTGCTTGTCCACTACAGAGCCTCTGTAGTCAGTTTGTGTCTACCAGAGCTTACAGCGGCAACGGACCCCGATCTGAGCCCCTTTACAAAACCAAAACAGGCTACTATGACATCCTGGAGGTGACTCCTATCGCCACTCAAGCCCAGATTAAAACAGCCTATTACAAGCAGTCCTTCGTCTACCACCCGGACAGAAACGCCGGCAGCGAGGACGCCACAGTCCGTTTCTCTGAGATCAGCGAGGCCTACACCGTGCTGGGCAACAAGGCGCTGAGGAAGAAGTACGACCGGGGTCTATTGTCCCAGTCAGACCTCCTCGCAACAGCCAAACCCTCCTCCCATGTCACCACAGGGAGCTCAAAGCAAACCGAGAGCCGCCGGTCTGTGGTGGGGGGAGACAGCCGAGGAGGCGTCTTTGATTTCGAGAAGTTTTTCAAGAACCACTACAGCGAGCAGCTGCAGAGACAACGAGACATCAGAGTCCGCAAAGAGGAGATGCTGAAGAAGAAGCAGGAGACGATTGAGGAGAAGGAGTTGGGCAGGATGATGGAGATGGGAGTTGGGCTGCTGCTGGCGATGGCCGTGGCTATACTGATCAGCTTAAAACGCGGTTGATGTTCGTCCACAGGGAGGAGATGAAGGATGAAGTGAGGAGGACAGTTTTACTTGTTAGGAATTATGGACACTTTTAAAATAAATTTATTGTGGTTCTCTTGAATCATCACCACCTTTCACACTACAAAAAAACCCTGCTTTTAAAACACTGTCTGTCTTCTGACCTCTCTGTGCAGGGAGACATGAACAACTAAATATCAGTGAAATACCATGGATGACTTAACATCATTTTCTCTAGGATTGCACCAAAAAACTGCCAGTTAAAGACTAGACTGTAATGTGCATAACAATTCAGTTCCCCATTCTGAAATTGTGCATCTCAACCCAGTACTGTCTACTTCTCATTCAATACAGTATTCAGTTCACTACTTGTGATTCTGTGCACTGCTTTTTTGCTTGGTGTCGTCCTTTGTCACTCAGTTTGTTGGTCACACACAGTCAGCACAAGAATCCCAGCGGCAGGGACGGGGTCTTTTTTAAATGTTTGGTGCTGATGCAACACATAAGGTTACCAAATCAGATGTTTTTGCCAATTCTTTACAAATGCCAAATGTTGTCTAAACACAAGCAGCCCTTCAAGAAGAAAAAAATATATATCTCATTAAACAATAAGTAAAAAGATTATGAATAAAACCAGGTATTTGTAACTTTCAGTACTTTACAGTTCTGATACAGAAACTTTTGAGTGTCGAGGGTTCAGCTCGACCCAAAAAAGTGTAGAGGGTTCAGCTCTCGGCTCTACCCAGGAGTCCTTAATCTGTCACTCTGCCATGAATCACTCTTTAAACGTCGTCCTACAGTAGTAGTGCTACAGTAGTAGTGCTACAGTTCAACTCATTTGGCTTTTATAAAGTCACCTGTCTAGCAGATTTCTTTATTTTTATAGTGGAGAAAATTTTTATTATGTTTTAATGTATTGCTATTTATGAAGTATTTATAGCAATATAAGGAAGTAGGGGATGTGTGGGACAGGTAACACATTAAACAGGTGCATTATAGGAACTGTGGGTTTACGCTCATAGTAAGTGTAGATAGTAATAGTAATAGTGAAGAAATGTGCCTTGGATTATATATATTGTAAAAACATTGTCCTGATATTTAACTAATAAATGTCTTGTGAGAACAGTGAAACAAATGTTGCTTAAGTCTTTTGTTGGCACTACTGACACCAACAATACCCGATGATGATCCAACTCAATGATACAAGGCGCACATTTTTGAAAAAGTCTTGTTTCAAACATGTAATGAACACAAACATTTAGTGCATTTAGAAATTCCACAGGTCACACCACAGATAAAAAGTAAACAAATCTGTCATATCAGTGCACATTACTAACAAACTCTGGTCAAGTAAAACCTAAAGTGCATCTACACAAATACAGTAAACTTATTAAATATAATTAAAAGTGCTTGCATAACAAACAAAAAAAACCCACAACAACACTAAAATCTATTAAAACAAAACCTTAATTATTCACTTTTCTTACTTGTTAGCTTTGTGGCCACAGGTCATAAACTTTCCTTCTTGTTCATTTAATTAGTAAAATGCCAATAGTCTTTCCATATTGCATTTACTCAATTACACCAAACCACACAGAGCAAGTGCCTAATGATTTGGATCTATAGAAGGATCAATCATCTGCATTTTGCTGATTTGTTTTGTCAAATGTATTTGGGATAAAATGAGCTTTTAAAACACTGTGAATCCTGGTAGTGTAGAATTATGGACGTCAGAAGAATCCAGTGGTTCTCAAACTGTTTGTCTTGAGAAATGTCTGACCTTGAGAGACTGTCCCCCGTTTGTCTAACTTGTTATGAACGCGTCTGCAGACCTGCAGTCCAGTATGTCCTCTCAGATGGCCGGGTTGAGGGCGTCATAGAGCCGCTGCACCGCCAGCTCCACCATCTCTCTCAGGGAGTCGTCCTCCGTGCCTTCATCCTCGTAGCACACCGACTGATCGGGGGAGAGGAAGTCAGTAAGAAAGATAAAAACAACTCTGACATATGTTGTTCTGTTCGGCTCCTCACCCTCGTTTCCAAGCAAATGTGAACCATCTTCCCATCTACCGTCACAGTGAAGTTTTTACCATCACGGAAATCCACACATTCCTCTCCAAACATGTCCCTAAACACAGAGAGAGATTACTTCAACTAAAGACTGACTGAGGTACTGTTTCTGAGGACGTATACCCTGTTATAAACAGCCACTCACTGCAACATGACTCCTAGGCGGGTTTGGAAGACGTCCATGTCCATAAAAGAACTCTGGGTCTCCATGACTGTCAATAAAACAGAAATTAAATCACACTAAACAAGAATTTATAAAAACAAAGACAATGGCAATAACGAAACCCAGTAGTAAATGTGTTCAAGTCAAACATGAGTCATTTGTTGTAGGCTTCCTAGTTTATAAAGCATTCAAAACTAAAGATCTGGATAAACAACATACATAGCTGACAGGCAAACCGACCTTTCTGAGCCTTTGGGTTTGACTGCACTTCCAGCACTACAGTGGTGACAGCATCGGCATACATGTCGTTGAGAGGGTTAGCTATCCACTGAAACAGGAGATAAAGAGAAAAGGTGGTTGGGTGATCTGCAGCGATTAAGAAAACACATCAGACCCAGCCGACCTCTGAGCTGCACGATATAAATTTCCTATATAAACCGTAAGACATGATAATAATAGGCCATTTTATTCATACTGTAAACCTGGGATCTGTAACCTGCTAGCCAAACACAAACTCATTTTTGAGAACACATCTGTGTTTTGATAATGAGCTTAGATTTCACACAGCAGTTGCATAAAGTCACTCAGTGAACTAAAGTGACCATGAGCAAGAATTACAGCTCATGAAGTTACTACACAAATGGGTGTGATTAGACAGAAGTCTCTCCACGCATCAGGACCACCGCTTACCTCTAGCAGCACCATGCCGACCTCGTGGACCAGAGTGATAGTTTTAAAGATCTTCAAAGTGTTCTTCTCGGTTCCATCCAGCTCTTCCACATCGCCTGAGAGCAAAAAGACCGCCAGAGGCAGTGTGGTACGAGCGCCAAATCAGTGTAAGTGAAGTCAAGAATGAATGAACCCAAAAAAACAAGAATACATTTGGAAAAGTTTGCACGAATACACATCAGACTGTAAAGGAATTGGTCACTCAGCGCACACCCTCACACACACACACACACACACACACACACACACACACACACACACACACACACAGCAGTCTTACCAGTGAGGTTCCTCAGATGGCAGACGAGCAGTGAGTAAGGTCCGGTGAAGGGGATGGCCTGGGACTGTTTCACAGTGCTCATGGCCAACTCTGTGTACGCTGCAAGACACATCAGGTCACTTCATGGTAAGGATCGTGAGACTGTTGTATTCTGATTCACCCTGGAGCAACAGAACAAATGTGTTAACATATATCTCTTTGGAGAACTAAAAAAAAAAACTTACTAGAAAGGTCAGAGGGATTGAGGATGTGGTAGTTGAAGTTCTTCTTCACCAGTATGCCTGACACCCTCTGGCCCTGGACACACTTCTTATCAGCCAGAGAGCCCATCACCTGAGAGAAGGAGCCATGTTCAGTAACGTCTCTCCAGTTTCAGAGTAGATTTATGTGTTAAACATTTATAGCAGCTGTCGACCAATGTGGGTTTTATAATGGCCGATGCCGATATCAAAACAAAAAAAAGTAATGTATAATTCCATTATTCGTGCAGAGTACAATCTAATATAAATGTCTATCTGAGCCAGTAATGTGTTGTTTAAGATGGATTTCCTATTAATTAATGAAAAAGAAAAATACATTGGGTTATGTTAGATCTCAGAACATGACTGGTGTTTAAGGGAGAGTGTGGTATAATTTTAAAAAAAAAAGTCAGTTTTATTGACCTTGGCCAGCTTCTCTCCTCTGAAGTTGAGGGTGACAGCTTCTGTGTTGCGAGGGTTGTGGACTTCAATGTGAACCTGGTCATTATCCTCATACTCCCTGATCAATGCAGCCTTCAGACGAGCCATCTCATTCTGTTCCCCGTGGACCAGGATCTGAACATTACAGATTTTTATTTACAACTGATGTAACTGACAGGTACAGACGATTTCAGACACAAATAAATCAATTGATTTTTTCCCCCCCTCCTACCACGTGTGGTGGTTTGAGAGCCCTGATGAACTCGCTGGTCTGCTGGTAGTCAGTGTGGGCGGAGAAGGAGATGTAGTCCACTGACATCTTTAGCTGCAGCTTCTGTCCCGACATGGTGGTGATCTCCTCCGGCTCAGACATGATGTGCTGCAGGAGAGAACGCAACACATAATTTTAAACTGACGTCGTTATATATTCACTGTTTCAATAGATGCATCCAATTTGAATTTAAACACACTTTTATCCAAGAAACCAGATGCATCTACGGTAGCCCTGAGAGGCAAGTGAGAAAAAGTTGTGGCGATCTATTGTACCGACGCCTGGTAGTGAAGTGTTACTACCAGACGCTGGTAAAAACAAAGAAAATTTATTTATTAAGACAGGACTATAATTGCACAAACATTTAGATTTTTTGTAATTTCATGACTATTCAAAAATTCAAAAATCATGACCAATCCCTATCGTGTTTAAGACTTAATAACAGCTGAAAAACGTTTTGCCAGGATGCCATGTTTCTAAGTGACTTTTTTTTATCTGTAAAAAGACGGGATTTTTTGTCAGAATCATTAGAAACATATCTGAAGCAATAATCTTTTCTTCCAGATGAGTTTTAATTTCTCCATACACTCTAAATACAAGATACGTATTATGTTATGTAACGTTACTGTCACGTCTTTCTTTTGGCTGGTAGTTTATCAGCGCGTCACCTGGAATAAAACATGAATACTTTTAGTCCTCTTTAGAACATGGGCCAGTGGTGCACTTCAGTCTCTTGTGGTTAAATGGAGTATTACAACAACAAACACAAAAAAACTATCCTGACAAAAGAAAACTTTTTTTTCACCTGGTCTTAAGTCATAAACACAGGAGAGAAAACAATTTAGATCAGACTTAGAAAATAGATCACCAGAACTTTTTTTCTCACTTGCCTCTCAGGGCTTCCGTATATATCACACTATTATTAACTCAAAATAACATTCACACTTTGTCTACCGTCCTGCTGGAGTCTGACCTTGGCCAGTGTGCCCTCTACACAGTATCCAGCGATAATCACTCCGTTCCTCTTATCAGTGCACCAGCTCTCAAAGAGCTCTCTGGAGAGCCCGCTCTGCATCATACCCGGAGACGCCATCACAACGCTGGGACCAATGTCGTCAAAGTGATCCATGCTCTGGGAAGAACCGACACCACAGTTATAGATACTCAGAAGATATAACAGTGTGGGTATCTGTGCCTGCAGCGCTCTCTACCTTGAGGTTACTGATGTGCTTGAAGACAAAAGGATTGTTGATATTGATGGCCTTGCGGATCTTGTCGTTCATTGCGTTGACGTAGGTCTGGTACACGGCCATGCACTTCTTGGCTAGGGATGAAGCATAGTAGATGGGGATGTCATGGAGCTCTGGGTGGTTCTGCCAGTACTCATCTACAGGAGAACATGAAACACAATCTTACAGACTCCTCTGATACATGATATAATACAGACGCAACTGACAAAACTAATTTTTAGTGTAATACAATGCAAATATTAAGCATCTCATGATCAAAGGTGATAGCACAGAAGCAAAAAATGTTGAATTCAGAATAGCCTATATAGAGACATAATCGAAATCAGGGAGTGACACACGACTTCTCACCCAGGATGAGCAGCAGTTCCTGGGCTCGTCCCAACGCGAACACTGGGATTAAACAGCGGCCTTCTCTGTTGACAATGTCATGGACTGTGTTACAGAACCGAGCTTCACGCTCCTCCCTCTTTTCATGGATGTGGGTGCCGTAGGTCGACTCCTGCAAAAAGAATGAACAGGATTCATCATGTTGTGGTCACATGACAATGCATCAATTGTAGTGTTCAATGTGAATCATCTTTTGGCATACTATGATTAAGATGTCAGGTTTGACACTGGGGATCTCGGCAGCCATCAGATGCCTGTCTTCTTGTCGGGAGAAGTCTCCTGTGTACAGCAGCTTCGTGGGGAAAAGGCAGACTTGTTAAGTAAACAACAGGTCTCTCTGAAAGAAAAAAAACAAAAACAATTGTCATTACCTTGACTCCAGCTATTTCGATCATGAACATGGCAGCTCCCAGCACATGACCAGCGTGGTAGCACCAGAACTTGATTCCGGCCACCTCCTTGACCTCGTGGAAGTTGATGGTCTCAATCTTATCCATGCTCTCCTCCAGGTCTGTCTCAGTGTACAGCATGTCATCTGCAGAAATGTTGCTGCAATAAATCAAGGACACAATTATTCATTTGGAAGATAATCTGTTGTTGCATAGTGACGAATGGCCCCAGCTCCTACCTGACTTTGACGTAGTCTGACAGTAGCCAGCGGTAGATGGCTTTAGTGGCGTGGGTCATGAAGGTCCTGCCTTTAAAGCTGGTCTTCTGGAGGAACCAGGGGAGAGCTCCACAGTGATCCAAGTGGAAACTGGAGAGAGGAAATATGCATCAACATCAAATGGCATTCTTAGTCAGTCTTTAGTTATGTTTTAAAATACAATCAGAAGAACATGCCCTAGTAAGGAAAATACAGATGCGTTTAAGCATGTGCAAATAAAAAAATACACAGCAATACATTTAAAAGAGAGGAGGGAAGACTCACTGGCTGATGAGAAGCAGGTCTATCTCAGCTGGGTCGATCAAGTCTATATAGGGGAGGGCGTCCATTCCCTCCAAGCCAGGGTGGATACCACAGTCCAGCTGCCAAACACAAATATGACTTTCAAAAACAAGCCACCGCACACTGAAATGACTTTACTAAATTTACTGTGAACAACGCATTTCGCATATGGCTTCTAAAGGTTCATACAGTCTCAACAAATATGACTTTATTTCACTCAGAACCAATACTGATTTCCAGGGAGGCCTGGGCACATAGAAAAAAACACATGACACAATAAAACAACAATAATTCAAAAATATCAAATAATAACGACAAATGTGTAAACATATAACTATTTGTACTCTTTTAGCTGTGGTTCCTTAACTTAACTGAATAATACTTGCAGATATGTTAATAGGTTAAGATATATTGTTAGCAATTTTACTTGAGATAATAGAGACACATACACATTTTGTCTATTTTTAAGTCGCATAGCAGCATACTGTACAGCTACAACTTAATACTGAATCATGGAGTCAACATATTTACCATAATTTTCCTTCCTTTGAACTCCAAGATGATGCATGACCTCCCCACTTCCTGACCAGCACCCCTGTTGTTACATGAGGGGGGGGGGGCATTTAAGCTAACGGTACATTTATTGGGTTGTTATTAACCTTTATTCATAAAAAAAAAATTACAAATGAACTCACAGTGGACGGATTAGGAGCTGGTCGCTTTCCTCTGCGGGAATAATCACCTCTACTTTGCGTTTTGTCGCCATATGCGGTCAATTTTACAGGCCAATTTCAAAATTGAAATAACTCAAGCCTGTGTTTCTGTGTTTGCAGGTTGAATGAGAGGGGGCGGCCTCGCGGAACGTCACACTTCCGGTGTTGTTGCAAAATACCACCGAGAGGAACCAAAAGCGTTGGCAAAGGTTCCCGAGACATGTGTTTTTGCGGCAACGAATTCAAAAAAACAACTAAACGTTACAAGGGGTACGTAAATTATTTATTCATATATATATATATATTTTTTTTTTTATTTTTTTTTAAATCAAGCATTATACACACTTAATAATATATATTATCCATAGGCCTGACGGGTAAACTTTCAGCTTCAGAGATACTTATTCGTACTTCGTTGCGTCCCCTTTAAGCGGTGTTGGGTGTGGGCTGTGAAACTCAAACAGAAGCTAAACAGAAAGCGTCTTTGGAGAATATTTACTCTAAACGGTACATTGAGCCGGTTACGGTACAAACAGGTAACGTTATGTTTGCAGCTAACTCTGTTGAATACACGTGCAAGTCTTAGCTTTTCAACTTCAGTATGAAAATTAATGCGGTGGGGGACATTTAAGGTGGAGCAGGATGAGTTCATCTAAACATTTGCTTTTCTGTTAGGATGTATCGTTACAGTGTAACTTAGCACAACGAGTTTCCTGCTGAGCGTGTGGGTTGGCATGTTGGATAAAGTTCTTGTCCAACCTGTTGATTCTGGGGGATCACTTGTGTCGTGGGGGCTCGGTTTTAAAATATGGTATGCTCTCCCACATCTCACCCTCCGACTCCATCACAAAGACCTGCTGGGCTGTTTGCTCTGACATGGTGGAGGTAGAAGATATTTATACAGTAGCAGGTGTAACAGATAAATTGGTTTCCTTTACGACTTTATCAACAGGTATATTTTACAAACTGCAGCTCTGGCAGTCTTTTGTCAGAGCCAATATTATAAACACCTCAAATGTAGTATTTATTACAGTGCTATATTGGCATAGTATTGTTTTGATGCTCTCTAACTCAGCACTGAATGGGACAACAAAATGAAAGTATGGCAAACTGAAAGTGAACTTTTTGTTTTTGGAGTCAATTTATGCTCAATGTTTACAATGTATCTGTATTGTGAGGAAAGTGCTGTTTTTGAAATATTGGCATCAATATTGTATGGCCTTGAAAACTAAGTTGATGTGCCTTTTAAAGGTAAAGATAAATTGTGACTTGAGGTACTTTTATTGTCACATACAGGGTTGTTGGACTGGGGGAGGATGGGGACTGAGTATACAGGGCCTTCATGTGAGGAGGGCCCACAAAGAAACTAGAATGAATAGGTGTGGATGTGGGGAGGGGCCCATAGAGAATGCACAGGACCCAGATTTTTGTGTGACGCCCCTGGTCACATGCACATACATGAAATTCATTCTCTGCATTTAACCCATCCCTCAAGGGAGCAGTGGGCAGCCACTGTGCAGCGCCCGGGGACCAACTCCAGATCTGTGCCAGTGTCACTGGTCAATGGCACTGACTGGAGAACCTGAAATGTTTTTGATGATGGAGGAAACCAGAGCAGACATGGGGAGAACTTGCAATGCCGCACAGAAAGGCCCAGGATGACCGGGGTTTTACCATATTTAGGAGGCATTACAGGATAGATTAGCTTTCTCATGTTCACTCTGAGCTGGGGAAAACTTTACTACTGTAATGAACTGCTAAACAAACTAACTTTCTCTGTGGGATTTTAAAGTTCTAATAGGATTTTTTTTTGTGTGTGTGTGTGTGTGTGTGCGCGCGCTTTGTGTTACTACTAATTGTCTTGTGTTTGTTCTTAGGTCACTCGTGCAAAAGAGATTTTGATCTTTACAAGACTTCCTGAATAAATTAAAGCTGAACTAACTGACTAACCAACACTCTTATAATGTGAACGGCTGTGCAGCTGTCATAGTAACAGTTGAATCGTGCAAAGGATAGCTAAAGGATTATTATGTTCCTGAAGGTCCACACTCTTGGACAACGATATGTTCTGCCTTCAATTATTCATCATCTGTGTTGACACTTGAGAAGGCAGTCCTGTGTTTCATGCTGTGGTACATGGTGTTTCAGGCTGGTGAGGCCGGAGATGCCTGATGTGGTCGTCATGTTGAAGGATGTTCCGGAAAGTCAAGAAGCGCCACAGCAGCAGCAGCTCGCAGAGCAGTGAGATCAGCACCAAAAGCAAAGTACGAGGACGCACACATAAATGTTATGACAGAGGCACTTTCTCGCTTGTTGAATTCAGCCAACACCCTCTTGCGGTTCCGTCTCTTTTTAGTCTGTGGACTCCAGTTTGGGAGGGCTTTCCAGGTCGAGCACTGTCGCCAGTCTTGACACAGACTCCACCAAGAGCTCAGGTCAGTCTGTCTTTCCTCTTCTCCTTCCGTTCCTCCTTTTCCTTTTTAACTGATTATGTGGTGTACGCCCTCCGTAGGTAACAGCACGTCAGAAACATGTGCTGAGTTCCGGGTAAAGTATGTGGGAGCCATTGAGAAGTTACAGTTTGACATGAGCAAGACCCTCCAGGAGCCCCTGGACCTCATAAACTACATTGATGCTGCTCAGGTAAGAAGCTAAGGAAAGATACGGGCATTCATCAAGCAGTGATGGTTGCTTTGCCCATCACTCCAGGCTAACAGAATTCAATATCACGGTCGATATCATGGAGAAGATGCTGTAAATATTCTGCTCCTTCTTCACAGCAAGATGGAAAGCTGCCCTTCGTGCCTGGAGACGAAGAGATGATTTTGGGAGTGTCGAAGCATGGCGTCAAAGTGGCCTCTCTGGACCAGTGTGTGAGTAGAAAAGCAATAGAAATGAGATATACTGTACTTCAGATTGAATGGTCATTGATTAGACTCTGTGGTGTCGCTGGGTCATCAATACAGCCAAACAGCATGGTTATGAATTCAGTATCAATTTATATTTTTGACATGGTGCTGCGCAAAGCTGATCAGCAATTCCCCTGAAATTTCCTGATGTTGCATCCACATTACCCATTTTATCTGAACTGATGCAGTATGAGCTGAATCTGTGGTGTAGCGCTACACTAATGTGATCGATTCGTGATGATTTACATTTCCTAACCGCCCAATACAAATGACAAAATGTATGCTTGAACTAATGAGTTAGTAATTATTAATTAAAGTCCACTTTAATTGTACCTCTGGCCAGGATGTGCTGCACCGCCACCCTCTGTACCTGATAGTGCGTATGCTGTGTTACGACGACGGCCTGGGCGCAGGGAAGAATCTCCTGGCTCTCAAAACCACTGACGCAAAGCAAGAGGAGTGCAGCATCTGGGTGTACCAGTGCAGCAGTTCAGTGAGTGTGACAAAGTATAAAATGAAGCAGTTTGCCTGATTTGGGGTAGTAAAAATGTCAATAAAAGCAGTTTTTAATCATCTGTCTGAACAGGAGCAGGCTCAGTCCATCTGCAAGGTGCTGTCGTCTTCTTTTGACTGTGCTCTGATATCAGGCAAGTCCTGAGGCCAGAGGGATGGGACGGGTGCGGAGGTCGGTCTAGAAGAGAATTTAAACAACTGCAAAACCAGCAACAGCAAACCAGGAGACAACCATGGCCAAAAAATGCAACCATTTCCCTTTGTTTTCTCCAACTTTGCTTTAAGAGAAATTAACTGGAGGTCAAATCCTCTCTGTTTTCAGTTTGCGGGAAAACACGATTTAGATTCCCAGTTTGATTCCTAGTAACACCTCCCTCCATCATCAGTTAAGACAGGACTGCTGTGAATTTGAATCATGTCCTTGGAATTTGTTTCCTTTACCTCAGACGGTCCTTTGACCTTTCACATAAAGTGTTCAGAAAGCTCAGAAAAAAAGGGAAACGGTTGCATTTAAAAAAAAAAAAAAAAGCATTGCAGCCTGCCATTTCAGTGAATCACATTTAAATGTAAATGATGGTACAAAATGGTACATTTTATCTTAGCTGAGTCAGCATGTGGTAATTCATGGGAGGCATTCATCAGTGTTGAAATGAGATGGTACATTCTCCTCATGTGGAAACCACTCCGATCCCTTTTTAAGTTTAGATATCCCTTTGTGTGTTTTTCTGAGACAAACAGTATTGGTACAATAGCAGTCATTTCTTGACTAGAAGGTACATTATACAAAGAGGCTTTAACTGTGGCCCGCATCCAATATTTTGCCATGTGAGTGTTAATTTTTTCTTAATTTGTGGAATTTACTCATTTTAATGACTGTTGTAGCATATGTCATTTTAAATTTTATTGGTACTAAAAGCTTGATGTGTTTTTGGATTTACTAAGTCCTTGTTTTATTCAAAATACATTAAATCCATTAGACTTACTGAAACCACGTAAATCCTGAAACTTGACTTCACCCTGGCCTCCCTTGTCAGCATGGTCCGGGTTAAGATTGGGTTGAAAATGTGTGTGACGATGAGGAAATGAAATAATTTGATCTGGTGCAGTATAAGGAGTGGAAGGTTTTTATGTTTTTGAATATTATTTTACTGATTAAATGTCATTTTTCCTTTTTAGCATCATCTTTACTTTTGAGTGGCTTTGACATTTTGTATCTGTTAACTATGAATTGTTGATAATATTGCTTTACCAAAACAGCACATTATAACAGTGTTTTTACACTGCAGTGAATTCTTACATTTTGATGCAGACATGCTGAAATCTTCCCCATCAAAGGACTTAAGACCATAAAGCAATTAATACTGTAAAGAAACAGACTAAAGCCTTGCATGATTTCATATTTTATTATTCCAGTTTCATTTTCCCATTTGCTTGCACAATAGAGTTGATCCACAGACAGTTAATGAGAATTAATTAAGTTTATTTTCCCATTTGTGTGAGTGTGTGTGAGTGTCTGTATTTGTGTTTTCAGCACACACAGGTCCAGCTGAGGTCGTATTTGTAACTCCTCACCACCACAGCGCATTAAGACATTTACTGCCCAGGTTAACTCTGCTTTTTTAATTTTTTTTTTACACTTAAATATCAACAAAAAACAAATCTATTTACACAAATAGATTATTAAATCTTCCTGTTTCCAGTGAGTTAATATTAAACATGAAGTGTATCAATTACGAGCACATGCTTCTCTTGTCATTCACAAATCAATGGAAGGCTCTGGTTTCAGTTTAAATGTCTAAATAACATTATGAACAAAAAACAAAGTTGCTCTGCAACCAAAAATGAAGTTAATTACATTGAATGTTTTATATTTATTTCAAACCACTACTGATAAACATCTTTCTACATTCTAGGACCCCAGAGATGAGAGGCTTAAGCTGTAGGAAGGATATTCCTTTCTCTCCTGGCTGTATAGACAGTGTCACAGAGAGACAGTTTCAGCTCAGTTGTCAATAAAAAGCAGCCTGTCTGAGTGCTTTCAAAGGCAAGAGGAAGCAACAAAAGTCAGAGAGCTAACTCTCACTTAAAAAAAAAAAAAACTTTCCACTTTGATATTCTTTCATTCTGAGCTTATTCCATACAGATGAGACGCGGACACACACACACACACACACACACACACACGCGCACGCACGCTTCCTATTCCTCTAATAAGGCAGATGACAGGCGAAGACGGCCTGAGGTGTCAGACCCGAACTACTGGCTGCTGCAGCTCCAGTCAGTCTCATCATTTCACCTAAAACAGTACAGGGGGAAGAACTGGAGTTTGCTGTTCAGTCGGCCTACTATCCTCCATGAAATAACACAGGCTGTGTGTGTGTGTGTGTGTGTGTGTGTGTGTGTGTGTGTGTGTGTGTGTGTGTGTGTGTGTAAAAGCACTGGTAGAAGGTGGATGCAGCTCTGTTAGTCTTCACACGTGTGAGAAAGTGATGTCTCCCAGGTGTGATGGGATGGAGGCTATTTTTTACATTAGTTTTGCATCCCCATCTTGCCACAACAGTCTTTGACACAGGGGGGAGACAGGGAAGCGCTCCCTTGGGCTTCTAGCATATTCCGGCGTTAATGTAGCACCATTAGGAAAAACCTCCACACTGGAGGCCTAACTACAGAGTTGCAAAAGTCGCACCTTTAAGCAGGTAGGTATTTAGAATCGCTCATGCACAGAGGTGGAATGTAAGCATGTTGACTACGTTCACATTTACAGTTAAGATAAAATACCTTGCTGTAGTCTTCTCAGTACTATTGCTTTCAGGACTGTATAACGCGGACTGAAAGCGGATGAAGTTAATACTGTACATATAACCTTCATTATGTCACATGTGGTCTCATGTTGTAACAAGGATAAAGACAAGGAAAGTGCATTTATTGCCAGAGGTCATTCACTACAATCATCGTTTTTAAATCTAAAGAGTCTTTGTCGGAAACATTAACAGCAAGCATTAAAACACACAACAGACAGTCACATTAGTCTTCACAGGGAGCGATACCGAGACTCTGTGGCGCAAGTCTATCACAGCTGCCATGATGACACCCGCGCAAAGTTGCAGCCGGGTCGATGATACAGCAGTGACACTTAAACAAGGTCGCCGGTGATGCCAGCAAAGATGATGATGGTAATGATGACCACAAACACCGGGACGGTGGTGGAGGTCAGATGGACAGAGACGGGTGAAGGAGGGGAAGCTGCGTACTGTGAGGCTCCCTGAGACCCAGACAGCGGCCGGTCAGTCAACAATGAAGTGTACAAATGTAACAGGGAAGGCTCCTCTTCTCATCGGATCGCCTTCGATGTGGCCCAGCTGCAAACACAGAAAGACAGACAAAGTCAGAGGAGATAGAGCACAGAGAGCATAATTTCACTAAAAAACTCAATAATTTGACTGATTTTAACAAAGGAAGTCACCTAGAACACAAACACAACACTAAAAACACAACCAAACACTAGGGCAGGGTTATATAAGTGGATTTTACCATGAATCACTATTGAAAAATTCAATATTGATTCCTAAAATCACAAGATCGATCTGCCATTTCTCAATGAATGTGTACATTTGCACCAATTATTATGTGTAAAATGTCTTCATAGTGGAAATTAAGTTATTACTACATATAAATTAATATACATTTTTTAGGTCCCAAAGTAACGGATATCATAGCTCTTTATGTGTGGTGGGATAAAATCTTTAAAAAAAATAATTCCATTTAATTTGTATTTTAAGTCTGGAAAAAATCTGAAAACTGCTTTTATATTTTTGAAAATTATTATTTTTTATTTGATTTTAATCTTGAAAACCAAACCGAAATGGAATCAAATCGGGGTCAGTTCCAATATCCAGCCCTGCTAAACACCACCTAATGGAGCACACACGAGTGAACTATGAGAGGCTAAAACACAATAAACATCTAAAAACAATACTGAAAAATTACATTCCTACATTATATTACCTTGAGTGATAAAGAAGACAGTACTTATTATGTCCATTTAAGTCATTTTAAAGTCCCCTATACCTGAAAATAAAAAAAGCTAGGACATGTTTCTGATCCAACAATGTATAGACGAGGCTAAAAAGTGAAACATGACAAGCCGTTGAGGAAATAAATACAGAATAAGATACAGTCTGAGCTGAAACCACAGACGTCTCTGTGCAAACAAATTCATACGGATTCTTCAAAACAACAAAACATCTGTCATTTATTTTACTTCTCTTACAAAATGCAGTCATACTCAGAAATGAAAAACGAAACTCGGTAGCTTGAGTCATATAATAGGACTGAATTCCAACGAAGAGACCAATTTAACTTCCAACTAAAGCCCCACAGAGACACTGCAGAACACTTCAGTCCCTCTTTGTGCTGTCTCATTACTGTGCTTTCATTTTGATATTTCAGACACACAAAAGAGCGATAACGCCGCTGAATGCAGGACAGAGATGAAGCATGGCGAGCGGACCTCAGGGGACCTTTAGGGTCCATGCAGGGACACGGAGAGAGAAAGTGACTAAATACGGTCATGTCTGCAGAGGCGGCTCAGAGGAAAACAAGTTGCAGCTGGTTGATGTTCACACAAAGGGGCTCCACAGAGGAAGCAACAGCAGGCGGAGGAGGGGGAATATCAGCCAGAGTGAGGTCATGGCTTTTTTGCTTCAGCCACCATGGTTACCGAGTGTGCCGACTTCCACATGGTGAAAATGGGACCAGAGTGGGAAATCAGCTGGACTGGGAGCGCTTTGTGCTTTAATTTGAGAACACAGAGTATCCACACACACTAAAACACTGAATTTGCAGCGCCCAAGATACTGACCCACCACTCCTGGTCCTCCTCTCCATCCACCACGATCACCTCACCCTCAGAGAAGGTCAGCTCATCTGGGTTGTCGGCGATGCAGTTGTAGATGGCTTTCACTCGCTTCGGTCGCTGCTTCTGAGAGACAGAACAAAGCACATAAGCGCTTGCTCAAGATTGTTCAGAACAGAAGGAAACTGCAGTGTGGCGGATGCGGCATCACAGTCATATTGCATGGTTTTTGTTCATTGTATTCAGTTGGGTTTGTTTTATTGGGAACTAGAAGAAAAGAAGAGTAGATGAACTCTTCACTGTACTGTGTACATTACAGGAGAAAGCTCCTCAGGATGACTATGTATGGTGTGTTCTGGTAGTGTTACTTTTTTTTCTTCTGAATTTAGGGTCTAGGGACAGATGGGCTTATAAAGCCTGTTGAAGCAAATTTGTGATTTTGGGATATGAAGGCTGGACAGCCAAAAACATATTGTCTTCTACAAATAAAGTGACTTCTTGTCATTGAGAGTGACCCTCCTCTGTAATCATGAGTCAACATAATAAGGATAATGCACCAATCTGAGTATGGTGGAAACTCTACATGTATGTTTATTTTGGGCTGTACAAATAAAAGGGATTTTTACGGGCTGTCTCAGCTGTTTATTTTTTGCACCTCTGAGCAAATGTATTTATTTATTCATTTGCACAATAATGTTAAACATTGGGATTAGTGGGATTCTCCACTGACTGACAAATTAAAAGAAATGCCCCATCTTTCACCTTGATTCTCTTTAGAAACTGAGAAAGAAGCTCTTTGCCTGCACGGGAAGGAAGTTTACTGCACCAGCAGACCCTGGAAACACTGAGACAATAAGTCGGCCTGCGGCGTACTGAAGGGAATTGCACAACACTAATAATGGGATAAACCTTGACTTGGAAAATCAGCAGCCAGTGAATCGGTATAACAGTGTGAATGAATACACTTACAAGCACTTTACAATCAACGGTATCTGGATGATAGTGAGAGGAAGAATGAGGGACTCACTGGGTAGGCCTTTCTCGGCACGGGGGCTGGAGGCAGAGACTGACCTATGGAGTTCTGGGAGCATCCTGGCACTTCCTTAGCTGGAACAGGAAGAGGAAATGAAGTCACAACGACAACAAAACCTTGCATGTTTCCACAGAAGAAAACGGAAAAGACGGATATTAAAACAACATCAACTCTGTACGCTGGACAGACACTGATTTAACAGGACTGATAGTGTGAGACACACTGTCATCTGTACACTCACCTGGTCTCTCGATAGATTGTGTTCGATTTAGAGGTCCTCTGTTGAAACTTTTATCATTGCTGTAAAACAAAAGAATTAATGTAAAAATTTGCACTCTTGCCAACAAAGTAATAGTCATATGAAGACGCAAATCTAAAAGAAAACGGTCCAGCTCTCTAAAACTCAACATCTCTGTTACAGAGCTATAAAAGCACTATAGATTTAAAAAAAAAAAAAGACTGTGGAGGAGAGTTATTGCTTGTCTGACTCGGTGCAGAGCTTAGCCTGGAAGCTAATGAAGCAGCTAAACAGCAGCCATGTAGGCTCATTTGTCTTGGGAAACGCACACCAGGTTAAAAGACAAACATTCACAACAGCAAGATGCACAACCCTGGGGGGTAAAGCACCATGTTCCTGTTCATGTGTAGTGAATTATTGTTTATTATTTTCCTGTTGCTAAGAAGCCACTGAACGCTGATGGTAGATATACATGTGTATATATATACAGATATAACACTTTATACATGTGTTTTTTTTGTTCTTACCCTGCAGGAGATTTAGGTGGCACTGCTCTGGACCCCAGTGGTCCCTGGCCTGACTTGGACTGTCCGCTCATGGCGTCCATCTTCGCCACAGGAGGACCCAGACCTTAGACACAAAATAAAACACACTCACTGCCTTTTATTTCACATCTTTGCACACTTAACGTACCATTTGCATTCTAAATGATTAAATCACAATAAAGAGATAAATTGATTAAAATAAACTTATCAGAAGAAAACAATCAATTTGAAATCCAATGAATCCAATATGAAAATTAAACATTTAAATGCCTCCTTACGTAACGTATTTAGTACACATGAAACTATGCTTCACGGATATAAGCAGACTTTGAATTTAAAACACTATACTGATATGAAGATAAGACAGAGGAATGTGCCTTGAGGTCCATACCTCCAGTTGAAGTGAGTCTCATTGGGGGGACAGGAGGGTGCATGTTGGGGGGGTCTGAGGATGACCGCTGGCGGCCAACCAGGTCTAAAGAACCGGGCTTCCAGCTACTGGACACTGAAGACTGACCGATGCCCCCCAGACCGGGTAACTGGCCTGAGAAAGAGAGACGGAGAGAGAGAAGGGTTATTAAGAGATTGAGAGAGAGTGCCAGCACCAGCGTCCACTTTAAGAGTCAAGCCGTTTCCATTTGAGTGTAATTGGAAGCGACAGTTAATGGGGAGAGGGAATGTGGAGACTGTCGGGGCTGGGGGGCCACGGTGGGCAACACAGCTGGCCGTTTCTCCTCCTCTGTTGGCAGCACTCCAGACAGCCACTAATGTTATTAAAGAGAAAGTTTTCTAGCAGCACATATACAGACTTTCATCAGAGAAGGTTTTAGATTTTTTTTTATAAAGTAATACCACACATTTCTTTAAAGACCTTTTACATGAAATCCTCCTCGTTTAGACTTCACGTGTAAATACAGAAAGAGGTCAACAACTTTCTGGGGAAGCTGCCTATCCATCTGTCTCCAATGTGACTTTTGCCTGCTCCAGGACCCAGAGACATCTGTGGTGTTGAAACAGTTCAAAAGGTCACCAAGACCTGCATAGTAATTAATATAAAGGCCTTGGAAACCAGTGGCACGGGGCCAAATGAGACTAGGCCCTCACAGATACTGTAGATCTAAATGAGGTTGTTCCTCTAGGGTATATTTTAAAAATATTGCTTCCCTGAGGCAGGCGAAGAGGTCAGATTCAGGTCAGAAAGTTCAACATGTTTAGCTGGGTTTTAAATAACATCTTCATCTATTCATCCTTGTAAAAATATTCCTAAAATGATGATGAGACAATTTCACCTACAAATGCTTCTATCGCTTTAACATTTGCCTTTCTTCTAGTCCTGAGCTTACCCAGGTTCCTTGGGGGCAAGGGCGGAGCAGAGGTGGTGGCAGGCTGAGGTGGGTTGGCGTTGAGGATGGTGCCATAGGTCTCGTTGTTGACCATGTTGGGAATGAAGGTACGCTGCTTGTCCTTGGCGAGGCTGGTGGCATCGCGGCCTGCAGAGCCCAGACTGCTCTGGAGGTGGGAGTTACTGCTTGGGGTGTAACAGCTGACCGGACGCTCGTCCCTGCGATGAGGGCTGGGCTGGAGGGGCAGCAAGAGGTCAGGGGGAGGTCAGAATGGGCCAAAGGTAGAGTATGCATATATGGATGATGTGAACCATGATTTGATCTCTTCACTGTAGGTTTACTATAAACAGTGGGAAGAACATTATGTGCTCACTCATTCAGTCACACAAACTTTTTCCACTTTTATTCCTGTTTTCTAGTGATATTTTGTCTGTATATATTTATAAGCCTACAGTACACACAGTAAAGACTCTCATAGTATGTCATAGTATATGTTTACTATCTACAGTGCCCCAGAAGGGGCTGGGCATGAGTCTTTCATGGGAACATTTGCCATCGGGACAACAAGATTAAGGACCACCTCACCTGAGGAACATTGTCATCTTTACTATCATATTTTAAATATTTTCTTCTTAGGCTTTAATGTAATGTTTGTTTGCCAATTTTCAAATGTTGTATATTTTCTCTTTTGAAAAGAAGATTCAACAATGTATCTACCAAGTTAGCAGTCACTACAGTAATCACCATTAAATTATTCAACCTAACTTGCAAGTGTATTATAACATTTCTAAACATCAAATTCATCCCTTTCAGCCACTCAATCTAAGAGCCACTCGCCTGGCTGTAGGGCAATTTGTAAACTCTTCTGCTTACAAAAGTGCGTCTCACCTTCTCATCCAGATCTTCGTCACTTTCATCCAAGTCTTCATGCTGCAGACACCATTCATATTCAACATGGGCGTGGCCGTTGAACTTCCCTGCCAGCGCTTGATTCAACTATACACACGAACAAATTCACACACATACAAACAAACACAAATGAGTGACAGCTCTTGTGTGATATGTTTGTAGGCATAAGCCAAGTCTAAACATAGTAAGCTCACCAGCTCCTCACACTGTAGATGCTTCAGCCTCCGAGCGATATCCAGCGGTGTCTCGCCGGCCTCATTAGCTGGAAGGGAAAACAACACAAACATATAATCACTGTTGCATCCACATGCCGCATGAGCACAAACACACAGCCCATTTTCTTTTCTCCCATTTCACTGTGATGTGAGGTATGTGTAATTAGACTGTTTCCCACACAGAACAACTCTCTGGTTTCTCTCCGTCCTCCTCCTCTCTGTATCTATTATCTAGCTGTTTTGTTGATGTCAGAGTTGAGCAGAAACAGTGTTGTGAGAAAGAGTTGCCATGGTCTGTTGGCAAGCACCCCTGGGAACTAAACCTGAAAGACTTGGACCAAGGAGTGAGTGAGTGAGTGAGTGAGTGAGAGAGAAATGCAACAGGCTTATGCACACACATATACATACAGACACATTCACCTGCACGCACACAGACACACACAGTCTCACATACAGACAGACACACACACACACACACAAATTTAGGCTGTCCCTGGTAGAATTATTCTTGATGCTTTTCTTTCAGTTAGTTATTTAAATTAATTGTTATTATTCCAGCTCTGATGGCTGTGCTGTGTTGTTTATTTATTTTGCTTGACCGTTTCTCGTTTTTATTTCTGTCTCACTTGTCTTCCTATGTCAACTGTTTATTGCTGCTGTTCGGCTGGTTGTCTCTTTGTTTTTGTTTGTTTTTCTCCACCCCAAGCCCCCCTCCCCGTTCTCTTGCAGGTGATGTCCTTTCTCTGTGCTGTCTGTTTGTGTGGTGTTTGTGTCCCCCATCCCCATGTAAAAAAAATACACAAAACAGTTGTTTTCATAAATAAATAAAATAATAAAACCGCAATATGCATACATGTATTATGGTTTTATTATTTTATCTATTAATACTGATTAACGTTAGCTAAGATACTTTTAATCGTGCAACCAGATTTAGTAGCTAAATGACTTGCTTGCTTACCAATCTCTATGGAGGCCTTCCCCCGCAGCAGCAGCTTCAGACACTCGCTGTTGTCGGTCAGGCAGCAGTAGTGCAGCGCTGTGCTGCCTTTGGCCGTCTGTTTATCCAAATTCAAACTGTCAAGGGACACAGACAGAGAGGGGACAACTTTTAATCCCAACACTGGAGGCTTAAAATGTCCATCCCCAATGCTCCTCTGGATATTATCCTCCAACCAAGTCAAAAAACGTCAACTAATTTCTAACTTATTTTGCACTTGTGAAATATGAAAAATACTAATACTAATGTAGTTATTTATTGTTTATAAATAGAACACAGAAACAACAAACAGCTATTTACAAATAATGATGACTGATAGAAAGACAAAAAAGAGAAATACATAATTGAAAACCTTCAATCTCAAGAGAGAAAAAAGATAAATATGGATAAACCATGTAAATATGCATATTGGCCTTATTAAACGTTTAAATTACAACAACAGTTTTGGTCAAAATCAGACAAGTGGTATATTTTTATTGTGGGGTATTCAATGTTTAGTTAAAGTCAGAACCCATCCCAGCATATTGCATTCTGTAAATAACAGCAGTGAAGTGCAAATGTATTGTGGTCCTCTGTTGTTTTCTTGCTTTGTTTACCTGTTCTGCGTGAGGAAGTCAACTATGTGAAGAGACGTTCTATCCACCAGTCTGACTGCAAGATGAAGGGCTGTCTCTCCTTGTTCCTGTGAATAAAAAGATTAAACATTTGCACAATGTTTCCATAACACACCTGGGAATGCAAGGTATTTGTGGAAAATCAATGAGAGCAAGAAGGATGCAACAGAATATTATTATGAGTAGGAAGTCAAACTCTGCAAAAGCTACTGGGAAAAAGTTTCAAATTCACCAGTGAAGGACCGATTCAGTTTCAAACTTCACATGGGTTAAATATTCTGTATACTGACGTGTCCGTTGGCTAGAGGTATGGGCTCCATGAGGTCGACTCCCTCGGCGTAGACCTGAATGAGGGAGAAGATGTCCCGGGCCTTCACTGCATCGCACAACGTGTGGAGCCGCGATGTTGCATCAGGACACTTCTTCCTAGCGAAACGTTTCTCTGTGTATTTGGCTGTGATGAAGTCTTTCCTCGCCTGCCTGGTGGAGGATGTGAAGCAGCAGCCGCTCAGTTACAGCTGTATCATTTATGGTCTTAATGTGAATAGGTGTGATTATTTTTAATGGGCATTGAAACTGGGGACACACCAATCAAAAGTCACTGATCACAACTGGTCAATAAACATGCTTAATTTGATTTTTGTTATACTATTTCAGTGCCTGATTGAGATTCATATTTAGGTTTTAAATGTCACATATAAGTCATCAAAATTATGATACAGAAGTTGCCTCTAGTTGCCGGTCAGTAACATAACTTGCATTGTATTCTTGTAGACAGACCATTTCAAATTTTGAGAAAAACAGTTGTTTCATGACAACATCAAATGGTCTACGTTGTATATGCTACTACTAAACCTTAAGAAACCTAACCTCTAAAAGGCACTTTTAGTGTGAGAAAAAAAGAAACAGCTGTCCTGTTCAGAGAGGGACATGTGTCAAGCAGGTGCAGTAAAGCAAACACAACCACTGCAAAATGTTACTCCAACTCGTTTGTGATTTCTAACTTTGTTAGACATTTCATACATATTTGAACAGCTGTGCAAAGCATATTAGTAGAAAAATTGTGTGATCAATCTGAAAATTTGCAAAAAATATGATATCTAAAATATTACATGTGAAAATATGATATAGGTGAGCAAGTACATCAGCTTTCAAGCTAGAGCCCAACCGATAATATTGGCACTGCTGATATGAGCTAATTGCAGATAAATCGGTACTTTTATAACAGGCGATAAATGACTATTAAAAGAAAAGAAACAGAGAGACGGATCCTTCAATGTTATGAGTGTTGTCGTTGCATAGTTTGTCCACCAGAGGGCACTCTGCAGCTCTCTGTCGGCAACACACGTTTGTTCAGATTATTATTTATAACAATAAAAAAAGTTTCTTTTTAAACTGCTTTACGTTGTGTTATCTTGGTGTGGTCTCATAACTACACATAAATGTTTCTGAAAAGAAGAAAAGAAAAAAAGAATATCAGCTTAAAAATCCCATAAGTCTACTTCAAGCACACACTAACTATACTTAGTTACTGTGTTACACCAGAAGACCTTTTCCTTGAAGGTATAAGAAAACACGTATTTATTTTTAAACATAATGGTGTCATATAATAAAGATCACAGGCATGTCACTGTTACTAGAAAGTTGGGTGAAATGTATCATTTGAAGTGCTGTCAGATCTGTGAGTTGCCAGTCATGCCAAATCAATCACGTTCAGAAAACCTGATCAGTGCATCACTGGTTATGTTTCAGTCATGGTGTCGCCAGTTTTGGATGGGCTGTGGCAGAGAGTGCGCAATGTGATACAACAAGCGAGAATAGAGGGAGACAAGGATGGGGGAGTGATGGAGTGTCGAGGAGAGAAGTTTGATCGGTGACTTACATGTCACTGGCTGGGTTGGGTTTCACATTTTCAGCACTTAAACAAGCCTCCATGATTTCATTAAAGCCTGCGTTCCCCACATTCTTGGCCAGCTGTGGAACACACACACACACACACACACACACACACACACACGGACATAGAGACACCCACATATTAAAACTAGCCATTTTCTGCACCACATGCATTTATTAAAAAGTCATCATGTTTGCCAGTTCAAGTCACACCTCCATCAGGATGCGGTATAGATCCTAAACTATATGTGTGGAGCCTTATAAACTGCACAACGCCCTTCTGATTATGGCTAACACGACTGGCGTCTTAACACCGAGGAAAGCAATCATGACTGGAAGCATTTAATCCCGACAGTACCACTGGCTGTAAATCTCTACACCAAACAGTGATTACAAAAGCCCCCAAAAAATCTCAGCTATTCTGAGCGTGAAGATTTCCGGAGGTCTTGGAGAAGAGAAGAGAGGAGAACAAGGCCTGGGACGATGCTAATCTCGATTTACAGTCCATCTCGTCCTCATTTCCCTTTCTTCCTCATTCTTCTTCGCTCCATCTACTCCCACCCGTCCTCTCCTTAAGTTTCTATCCTGCCTAAAAATCTCCAAAGAGATTTGTGCGGAAAATCAGTACAATGGGATGACAACTGGGATGAAAAACAGGGGAACATGAGGTGATTCAGCGAGAAGACGGACGTCATCTGTGATTTACCAAGAGCTCTGAGGTGCTGAGTACGTCCAGAGTGAGGGACTGGATCCTGGAGTAGTGGACTCCCAGCTCCCTGTGTATCCCCGAACATTCAATACAGGTAAGGATGCCCAGGTTGGTGGACAGCCACGTCGGGTCTGAGAAAGAGAGAAGGGAAATTGTCAAGACAATGGAGAGAAGAGGTGGTAAACGACACATGAGGGAAAAAGAGGGAGACATGAACATGAGTGACACGCTGTCCGCCTGCAAAAACCTTTGAACCAAAAGTAATTTCTGCAGCACGTGAGCCAACTTTGATGTGTCCTTGTGGAAAGATGTGGGCTCTGGAAATGTAATAGCTCCCTGAAGGGCTTTTTACCATCTCGCAGCCGACAATGTCAGAGGAAAGTGACCAAACTGACTGTAGCTAAGTCTGACCTACATACATGGTGTATGTGCAGATACTGCATTCTGCATGTGTATGGTCTGTGCAGTGTGTAGAAGTATATACACACGTCTGCTGGAGGAAATTTCACGTGATTTGAGAAAAAAATATTGGGAGACTCCATGCATTTGAGGAAAAACTGATTTCAAAGTCATGACAGAATGTCCTCACAAATGCAGAGGATCCAGTGTGCAAGAGATTCAGCATTTTCTGAGGCAGGGACTTACCATACCATGGCCTTTTACCAGTGGTTCTGCATGCTTTGGCTCATATTTATGCATATACATGGCTGCTAACACTTTCCAAAAGCATACCGCACATTTTTAGACAGATTTCCTACCTTTGAGGCAGCAAATCATGTCTGTTATTTCAGAGGCTTGAAACGTGCCTCTAAGTGCAGTCTTGGTTTAGTTTTTTTATGACAAAGTCAGGAAGCCAAGTCTAGGGTTGAAGGATTCCTGATGATTTTAAAGTACTTCTCAAGAATATATCGCTTTTTTCTCTGGATTCCTGGGATTTCTCGCCACAAATGAAATTTGATTTTAACCACTGAGCCGTGGATAATTACTGTTAAATCCTGACTGATCCTGTGCCGGGAGATTTAAATAAATGAACGAAGTTACCGCTGCTGTTCATAAAGTGTATTCAGCACCTCTCAATTTGGAAATGCACCTATCTTTCCAGCTGCTGTGTGATGGCTACAGGTATTTAATTAACTCAGGACACAATCCAACATAAAGACCACCAGTACTGACGTCTCTGTAAAAGCTCAGATTACATACAGTGACATGTGAACGACATTGGCAAGACATTTATCCCCTTCTTAATCATGTTCAAAGTTGAATTGTAATTGTCAATTCAATGTGTAATGCACACAAAATTGTCGGGAAAAACAAGAGGCCAAACTTAATATTTATGAAACCTTTTGTCATTTTGGAGAGGACTCCAACTAAAGCCACACAAATTGTGGCAGTAGTGTTATCATAATTTCTGCATCTTAAGGTCTTAAGTTCTTGTGACACCCTGTGGGGTGAATACAGCTACAACAGTTACACGATAGTGTTAATGGTCTGGAGAAGTACACTGGCGCACACACGCATACACATGCTAAAAAACCCAAGTTCCCGCAGGCATTTCTCCAAATTTTGTCAAGAAATGCCAGGAAGTCCAGTGATTCCTAACATTCAACTCTGGCTAGGAGAAATTTTTAAAGTATGCTTTGTGGTGTCTTAAAGATACAGTGTTGCCTGGAATGTAGAAAGTCAGTTTAAAACTTGTGCTCTGGAAAGATTAAAACGTATACCTGATTTGTGGTTAATAAGCTTAAAACCACTGCTTTCATCCTTTCTGTCAGAATCAATCACTCTAAAGGGCATAAAATGTGTGTTGATTCTGTGCTGTCAGTCATTTGTGAGATCTTTGCCACTCACTGGGCGCTCCGCAATCACAGCACACGTCATTTCCTGTCATCCTCTTGACCTCTCCCAGGATCGCCTTGGTCAGCTCCTGCACGATGTTGTTCTCGCCGACATGTTGGTCCCCTTTAAAGGCCTGATTCAACGCCTCCTCCTTACTGTTCTGTAGCACTGAGATCCAGCTGGGAATAGGCAGGAGAGGAGAGCAGACAGGAGGGGCGTACAGGAAAAGTGAGTCAGGATGATGAGAATAATGACAGAAGAGAAGGGAGAAGGAGCGGGAGAAGTAGGGGAAAGGAGGTTGAGAAGTGGGGATGGGAGCAGCTGAGGCAGAAACTTATGTGATGAGAAAGGGAGGGAGTTAGAAAGAGAGACAAGATGGGAGTAAAAGGCAGGAGGTAAAGACAAGGCCAAGCGTCTGGCTGGGTGTGAGGTAGGAAGTGTGTGGAAAGTGGTAAACAGGATGCACCAGACTGAACACACACACACACACACACACACACACACACACACACGGAAGGAAGGAAGGAAGGAAGGAAGGAACAGGCACTTACATCTGACAGTCCTGGTCGTCCTCAGCCTGAAAGTGATACGTTCTGTCATCTAAAACAAAAAAAGAATGAATGACACAAGAGAAGAGAGAAGTGTGAGAGGGAGGAGAGAAGAACATGAATCAAAGATCAGTAGAAAGGGAGTGACAAAGCCCTGAGCGATTCCCTACAGAGGGCACTCAAGCATCCTACTGACAGGTCAGACTGAGGGTGTGTTGCTGAGCAGCAAACAACAAAAAAAGCTCTGTTAGCTCTTATTTTTGGCTTCAAATGTGAATCACTCGCTAATGACCAGGGGAGATTGAGATCTATTTTTACACTACTGTATCCAAAGAAACTTAAACTATGTCATGTCCCCAGTGGCTGAAGCTTAGCCTCTTCAGCTCAATGCCAGTTTTTCTTATGTGTGGAGAAAAAAAAAAAAAAGGCCAAACCCTGAACTGTGAATCGCAATGTCTACTGCATGCGATTCCCCTTTTCTCTCTCCCCCCATCATTTCCTGTCATCTCTCTACTGTCAACTTTGCAATGAAAGGGGTTAATTTAAAAAGGGGTTATTAGCTACATCTTAGTCTGTCCAGAAAAGACAACAGTGTGCAATGGGCTGATGTGTCCAAGTGTATGTTGTGGAAAAGGTGCTAAAATTAAATTATTATATATTATTAAATTGTTACTGACTATTTAGGGAAGAGCAATGATAACCATTATTTTCATTTTTGATTGATTTGCAGACATTTTTGTAGTTACTAGACTAGCAAAATACTTGGTTGCTTTTATTTCATTCTAGGACTCAGATTAAATCCTAGATTGAGATGTGCTGGATGTGTTAATGTACATTTTTTTAAATCAGCTTATCTTTTGGCTTGCTGCAGCTCGCTAAATAGCAAAACGATTTGAAACCCACAGAGCTGCAATAACAAAATCTTGGCTGGCTGCTGCCTGGATGATTGGAGCTAATTAAAATTAGGCATTTGAGTGCAACATACACTGGTTGGGAAAAGGAGAAAAAAAGGCAGGGGAAAAGAGGTGGCAAATTGTGAGCACAGATGACAAGATAAGGAAAGCGAACAGAGAGAGAGGGCTGAACTTACGGGATATGAGGTCAAAGCTTCTCTTCTCTTCAGGGTTGTGTTTCACCTGGCAGGTGAGCAGGTTGAGTTTAGCTGGCGGCCGGTTAGCCTGACAGAGAGAGGGGAGAGGGAGGGAGCGTAGTAACAACAACATTAATGAGCGAGTGTGTTGTGTTTAACGAGTCCGACTGCTGCTGGAGCCAAATGAAACATCTGATAAGCTGCTACGTGTGAGATGAACTGTGTTAGTGAGAGGAACTAAATCGTTATATGGGAACGACATGGGAGTTCGTTTAAAAGCGACTCAGCTGAGGCAGCGATGTGAGACGAATGTTAACTTGTGAACTCGGCCTGCGCTCTCTGCTGCTCTCCCTTAATATATTCATGGTTAATGGGGGAAGATAATGGCCGGCTGGGGAGAAGGCCTGCAGCCAGGACACTGAAACTGCAATGTGTGTGACGACTGTGAGGCTAAACGAAGCATGCATGGAGGTCTGCTCACATACGCGTGCATCTAAGTGCCTATTTGGTTTTAATCAGAACAAACACAGATTACTTACTATTTACTTACCGTTCCATGTGAGATAGTGAGGTATCCGTTCTTCGCTGTGCACTTTCTCTTCTGCCACACTTTCCTCAACCTGTGACACACAGAAGATGGTGATTAGTACGTCACATACACAGGGGCGACCCATGATAAAATATGTAATAGGGTCACATGTTACAATACAGAACACATGCATTAGTTATGACACAGGCTGAGCAGTGTATTCATATAAATAACAAAAGCTGCATCATTAATACTAGAGCTGCAAATAATTGATTTTATGAGATGACCAACAGAAAATGAATCTGCAACAACTTTGATAAGTAAGTAAGTAATTTTTCAATGAAAAACAAAAAATATTCTTTTGTCACTGCTCATCCAATGTGATGATTTGCTGATTTTCTCTGTGAAAAATTGAAAATCTTTAGGATTTGGACAGTTTGTCAGGCTAAACAAGCAATATGAAGGTGTCACTTTGGGCTCTGGGAAAATGTGATGGCCATTTTTTGTGACATTTTACAGACTAAACAATTAATCAGTTAAATCCACAGGTTAATAGATTGAGTAATAAAAACAACTGTAGGTTGCAAATTGTCCAAACCTAATTTTAATGTAGTTATTACAAATTTAACCTACAGCAACCTAGTTGTTTCCCTCCCCCCACCTAAAGTTCTCATCTTCAAGTTATTCTAAAAACTTACCCGTCACTTTTCTTGTACAGGCAGCCGCTGCGCTCTGTGCCGTGCTCCTTGTTACCCTGTGGCTGGTGCAGACTGTAGGTGGTGCTCTGCCGCACCTGGGAATCCTGGGGAAAGCGCACACAAACAACTAAGAGACGACATATCGGAGACTTTATGCAAATATAAAAACAAACTAAAAAAGCAGGCGCTGCACGTAGGTTCTGCAACTCCACACGGCAGTCAAGGAACTACTGAAGCGTTAAATGGCTCTAATTTACGCTCTGCTTCTGGGTCTCCTGCTCCTCAGAGTATTTTGGAGCAAGTATGGACAACAAAAGGAAGATTGCTACTGTGAGCCTGAATGACTTTCTACACATGGGGATAAGAAAATAAGAAGAACTTCTCTGAAACAGAATCTGCAGGTGGCCAAAAGCTGTCATTAGTATTTTAATCTCAGAAGCAAATCTGAGAGGATTAAAATACTTTAACAGATTTATCCTTAACTATATTAAATTTAACTTGATTTATGTTTTGGATACTCAGGTTTGACTGCAATGGAACAACAACAAGGACCAAACAAAGGCCAGATTTTTGTATCAATGATGTAATTTCCTTTCTGGAAACACTACGGGAAACAGAGGACAACATCTGAAGGCAGGCGTTGACGGGGCTCTAGTGATTTAATTGGTGTGTGTGCAGTTGTCAGCACACAGACACAGACAGACACAGACACACACATGAAGCCAACAGCATAATCTTGGAAGAGCAGGAATGCAGCCCTCAGCTCGATCTTTTCTCATTGAAAGGTCATTTAAAATAAAAAGCACAACATAAATGCACCGAAGCACTAAAACATGGCAATGTCATATGTGAACAGAAACATGGATGATTTGTTGCTGAAAGAGAACAGAAAACAAACTAGTGATTTAGCACTACAACTGATGCAACACCACAATGAAAACAGGATGCAACCAACCACAAAATCTTTTGGATTTTTTTCCACTTACTCTCCTAGACTTGTTTCACAAAAGACGAAGGCAGAGAAGGAAAGGAGAAAACAATCTTCAGGTGAGACCAGGAGCTGTTATTAATAGTTTTTATTGCTATTTAATAGCTCACTGAGCATGGGGGCTCATTTCACGTCCATTCATTTGCGTGGTAGAAAAAATGGAAATTAAACTGAAAACAGCTCAGCCTTTTCAAGACACAATAAAGGTCTCTTGAATCAGCTGATACATGGTTATGTGAACTTCCAACCCTGATAGAGTCCCACACTAGTACAAATCACATGGCTGAAAGTTGAAGAGTTGTTAAGTTCAGGAATGTTTCTAACAAATATAATCTGATTTTAGAACAGAGTTATAGGAATTAGGATTAAAATGTGATATTTGACACTGAAAGATCGTGGAGGACCTTCAGCTCCGTGCGCGTATGTGTGTATTACCTCCTTCTGCTCCACCTGTAGCGCTGACTTGAGGACATCTCGTAACTGAGTCAGCTGTTTCCTCTCCTCATCCTGCACCTGCTTTATCTGTGGTGAAGGAAAGAACAGCAAAGAAACGCATGTGACGCATACGTGATATAAATATCAGAGTCGAGTGAAGGAAGGAAGATACCAGAGGTGCTGGGTTTTCTCACCGTGTGCAGATCTGTGGCCAGTTTTTCTATGGAAGGTTTCAGATTGTCCACGGCTTTCAGCCCGTCCTGAAAGAAACTGAACAGGAAGCACATAAATTTAACATAGCAGGCGCACATTAGCATCACAGAATTGCCACAACATGGGTCTGAATTTATATTTGAGTGCCTTAAATTGGATAAACTGCTCACATGACAACATTAGGTTTATCACAAATCAAAAGCAAAATAATGTAATATAACTAACATGTTTTTCTGGTTCACTGGAAACCAAAGCAGTTTAATTGGGTACAGGATTTGTAGGTCTTACTTGCACTGTGCGTGGAAGTACTTGATGAGGTTCTGCAGCAGGTCCACCCCCTTCTTGATTTTGATCTCATTGACTTTGAGGAGATACTGTAACCATATTGAATACAGATTTAGTCCGACAGGGTGAGGCCGGGTTCACTCAGAGGGAACAGCAACTCCACAGCTCCAACTCAAACATGTACATCGTCCCTTTCATCTCATATCTACACACTTACACAAAGTAAAAAATAGACTTCATCTTTCAAGTAAAGTTTTAGTGAAGTAAAACATCAAAGAGGTACAGACCACTACAAACAAACACCTATTCTGAGATAGCCAACCTTTCAATTACGTTTGGCAAAGACATACTTTTACAGGAAGTGGTACCTGTTACATGCGGCATTAACTTTGTGCAGTCATTTTCTGAAAATAGGAGTCCCATTTTTTACGTTTCATGGTGCATATTAAAAGTTACTTGTTTAGTAAACATATTTAAACGACCGGCAATCTGATGATCCAATCATTAGTCCGACTAACCTCACACATCTGCAGCTGGAAGAATCTCCTCTCCTTCTCCATCTCTTCAGCGATTTCCGCCCCACTAATTTCTGTCCTGATCATCCCGTGCTGCCTTGCATGCTCTTTCTTCTCCTTCTCTATCTTGGTGCTGGCAGGAAGTGACATCACAGAAGGTCGATGAGCACACAGCACCTCCATAACAGCGCCGTAAATGCATAAATAGTGTGGTGCTCTGCAAAATCAGCCCTGTTGTTATCTGGCAGATAAAGAAGATGGCTCCCTGAGAAGTCAGTGGTTTCTGCTAATTACATGATGGGTTAGTTTTAGCTATAAGGTTAGAAATGACTGGGATTTGGATTTTTTGGTGTAACAGTAATGTCAGTGTTAATGTCTGTGTAAGATCATCTTAATCATGCAGGTAGTAAGCAGTCTTTAAATTTTAAAATGAAGGCATGTGATGTGTTTTTAAGTTCTGTTGTTGTGCGAAGTAACCGTGGCATTCAACCCAGCAGGGACATAACGTCTCCTTATGATAGGATAATTCGTCTTCCTCTCACAACACTACAATGACAACACCTACATCACCACCAACTCATCCCCGTTGTAGGAATAAAGCCATCCCTGGAGAAAGTGATGTTAATGGAGGTAGGTGTCCTGGAGGCATTGCTTCTTCCACAGAGTTAAACACTGAGGTTTCCCTACCCGACAACTGAGCTAAAAAAGCCATTCAGATGCATAGCAAACAGCCATCGCTGTTTTTATAGTAGCGCATTTCCAGATGTATAACGTACTGAAGTAAACACTAAATTTGCAGGGGAGAAACATCTGACGCGGCAACGATTACACTGAAACAGATCTATAAAATCAGAATTCCCAAGAGGGGAATCTACTGCACTGAGCTCATGAGTGCATTTGGAGGGTGTAAAACGCTTTCTATCATTAGTATAAAGCTTGTGAGCAAAATCGAACACTTGTTGTTTCTCACTGATGATGGCAGTGGAAATGGTTACATAAATCAGAAAAAATTAGAAAGCAGATGTCAGCTAGAGGGAATAACTAAACTCATCAGTCCTCATTTACTGAGTCAGACTGTTATAAATTTGAAGTTCAAATCCAAAGGGTAATCTATTTTTATTCATAATTGACGTGCATTAGGTATTTGGCTATGTGTAGGTATTATTATGTAGATAGGATTAAGGTTAGGTATGTGTTTAAAAGGTCAGGGATAGACCTATGAGGGTGTGAGCCCATGATGTTCTTGCACTGGCTCTGTTGAAACCTTTCACATGCCTGGTTGCCTAACAATCACTATTCAGGGCTGATTTTTCACAAAGACCATAAACTCGGAATACAGTATCTTGCACAGGCAATCAGGAAAACACACCATACACAGAGGAGGGGAGGAGGCACCAATCCATGCAACAGGGCATTCTTTTCCATATGCTGACAGCATACTCCCTGCAAAAAGGATGCAGCGGTTTGCTCCCTCTACGAGGGACGAATTTGTCAATGACCGCTAGCTGCTTGAGAGCTGTTCGTGTGCATTAACAGAGACTTCACTCCCTCCTGTTCAACTGTGTAATCAATTTGACCTGCAACTAGGCTCAGTGCAAGATATACAGCTGCAGGTAAAAGTGTGTGAACCCTTTGTAATTACCTGGATTTCTGCATGCTCTCAGAAGACCTACGATTAAGAATTGTTGAATTGCATGAAGATGGAAAGGGTTACAAAATATCTAAAAGCCTTGATGTTTACCAGTCGACAGTAAGACAAATTGTCTATGAATGTAGAAAGTCCAGTATTGTTGCTACTCTCGCTAGGAATGGCTGTGCTGCAAAGATGACTTCACAAGCACAGCGCAGAATGCTCATTGAGGTTAAGAAGGATCCTAGAGTGTCAGCAGAAGACTTACAGAATTCTTTGGAACATGGTAACATCTCTGTTAATGACTCTACAATACGTAAAACACTAAACAAGAATGGATTTCATGGGAGGACACCACGGAGGAAGCCACTGCTGTCCAAAAAAAACATTGCTACACATCTGAAGTTTGCAAAAGAGCGCCTGGATGTTCCATAGCACTACTGGCAAAATATTCTGTGGACAGATCAACCCAAAGTTGAGTTGTTTGGAGGAAAAAAGGCACAGCAAACCAACATCAAAACCTCATCCCAACTGTGAAGTATGGCGGAGGGAACATCATGGTTTGGGGCATCTTCGCTGCCTCGGGGCCAGGAAGGGTTGCTATCTTTGATAGAAAATGAATTCCAAAGTTTATCAACAAATTTTGCAGGATAATGTAAGGCCATCTGACCGCCAATTGAAGCTAAACAGAAGATGGGTGATGTAACAGGACAACAACCCAAAGCACAGAAGTAAATCAACCACAGAAAGGCTTCAGCAGAAGAAAATATGCCTTCTGGAGTGGCCCGGTCAGAGTCCTGACCTCAACTTAATTAAGATGCTGTGGCTTGACCTCAAGAGAGTGATTCACACCAGATATCCCAAGAATATTGATGAACAGAAACCATTTTGTAAAGAGGAATGGTCCAAAATTCCTCCTGTTGTTCAGGTCTGATCTGCAACTACAGATAACGTTTGGTTGAGGTTACTGCTGCCAAAAGAGGATCAACCAGTTCTTCGATCCAAAGGTTTACATACTTCTTCCACCTTGCACTGTGCATGTTTACAGTGTGTTCAATAAAAACATTAAAACATATAATTGTTTGTGTGGTATTAGTTTTAGCAGACTGTGTTTGTCTATTGTTGTGACTTGGATGAAGATCACATTTTCTGACCAATTTATGCAGAAATCCAGGTAACGCCAAAGGGTTCACACACATTTGCCTGCAACTGTATGACTAAAACAAATAAATACAAAAAGGCCATTCCAAAATTTAACTTTAAAAAGAGGAAAAATCAAAGTGGTGGGACTGCATGAGCAATCTTCAAACATTCTGTTATAATATAAAACTACCAGCTAGTCTTAAAGGAATACTTTGACATTTTGGGAAATACATTCTTTTTCTGGCGAGAGTTAGGTGAAAACAACAACTGGACGTTTTTACCCTTTGGTTTGTTATTGGCTTGCTATTTCCCCAATTAATGTCAGTCTTTATGCTAAGCTAAGCTTATCATCTCTTCCAAAATGTCGAACTATTCCATTAACATTTCTTGTCAACTGCCTTGTTACTTCCTTCACACTGTGATTCATTACGTCGCACCACTTTACAAAAGGCGATAAAAAGAAACCTCTGGATTCTTGCTGTAGCACAATAAATATCTAGTGCCCCTCAAGTGAAGTGTTTTGTACTTTCTTCTTTATTTTGACTAAACACTCCGCAGCGAGCTGCAGTTCTATTGTTAATATTCATTGTTTGGCAGGCAGGATACTAGCATTGAAACAAAATTTGGCATGTTCACAAATGCTGTGTAATATGGTGCTGCAAACAAATGCTTTGATTCACTCAAGGGTGAGTCATGGTGAAAATAGACTTAATTAAAGTTAGTTTCCTTTCTCTTTTTGCTATTCCAAAAAACATAAGCAGTTTGCTGTTACCAACGTAACAGTCTCAGACATGGTTGGAAAACTGGAAACAATCAGCCATAAAGATTAAAATAGTTCAGGCAGCCTTTAGTTTTCATCGTAAACTCGCCATTTGAACAAGCCAAATTAAATTTCATTGCGAGTATACTGCTGGCCTTTGTCATGGCATAAATCTTCAGCCCTGACAACATTACAGCATCATCAGGGCTGCAATTAATAGACACATGTTATTGTGTATGGCAGCCAGCCAAACTGACTGACTGATGATTGGGCTGAGAATCCATTCACTTTTAGTCCTGTCAGTTCAGGGAGTGATTTACCAATTAGGAAATAAAGAAGAAAGATACATTGTGCATTCAAATAAAAAAAAAAAAAGGTCTGATTTTAGTAATTAGATTTTAGATTTAACACTCCTCCTGAATTAACGGCATTCAAAAGTGAGACAACCCACAACCTGCAGACTGAAAACAGAATTCAAACTCGGGTGTTGGATGCAAAGAGCTTTGCAAACCAAATTAGGGAATCAGAAATCAATTCATCTCTCTGTGTCTGAATATGAAAACAGTCATTATTGTGACAGCAGAGAGATTGGAGACGAACACTGATGAAGAAAAGCGGCAGGATATGTCGGGGTGTTTGGCTGGTTTTCCCAGTCAGGCAGAAAACTGAGCTCTATTGATGGCCCCTGTTTGCCATTAATAGAGTCAAATCATAAGAATAAGTTGGGACGCACAGGAACGGTCACATAGCATCCGGCTGAACTCTCGATGTCAGTACAAAGCCCGTATTGTCTGATCGAAACGGAGAGAAAGTGTATTACCCTTTCAGTAAAGAATGTCCTTTGCAGCTTGTAAAATATATGAAAGTGCTATAAAACGTCATGTGTTTTCTGCATGCACATTCACAATGGTGTCAGGGTGGAGGTGGAAAGGTGATGGTGAGAGTTGGTTATTCACATTATCAATGACGTGTTGACAGAAAATCACAATGGAGGTTAGAAGGGCAGAGCGGTTAGTCAAGACAAGTCAGAGACAAGACACACACTGCACATTTCATTTTAGCATACTGACTGACACATGTATGGCTTTAAATCGACGAGTTAAGACTAGTTTCAGCACTGAACTGAAACATGTTAATGTCTAGTTCTATTTATGAAAATAAATGAAAAGGTGTTGAGTTTAGATATTAGGTTTCTTACACTTTAGTTTCGTAGTCCTTCCAGGCTTTGTCAAAAGGCTTTTTCAGATCCTGTAAAAAACAGAAAAGCCAAAATTGTAAACAATTGTCAGGAATATATTGCTGAAATGATTGGTTGATTAATTGATCGCATAATAATAACTATTTTTGATTTGACAGAAAGGTCTAAAAACAGCTACTACTGTTGATTCTTGTATGTTGTTCCTCAAATGTAAGTCGCTTTGGATAAAAGTGTCTGCCAAATGAATAAATGCTCTAAATGGACCTTGTGGTAAGATTGTTTTGTCAACTACTGTTTCCATGGACAAGGATGAACTTTAAATCTTGAATTTGCTTCTTTTGAATATGTGGCTCTTCAGCTGAATTCCTCTTCGAGCTATTTTTCTAAATATCTACAGGCCCCCCAAATACTGTGCAAACTTTTTTGATGACTTTTGTGAACTGCCGTCTATAATCTGTATTGACTTTGACTGTGTGGTTATTGTTGGTGATTTTAACATCCATGTTGACAACCCCCAGGAAAGAGGGACTAAAGAACTGTTTTGTGTTCTTGATAATTATGGACTGACTCAACATGTGACAAGGCCCACGCACAATAAGGGGCACACTTTGGACTTGGTCATCTCCAAGGGTCTGAACATTTCCAAGGTTGTGGTGACTGATGTTGCTCTCTCTGATCATTCCTGTGTTTTCTTTGAGAGTGCTATCTGCGTGCACACAAATGTTAAAACAGAGGTGATCACAAAACGGCATATCACTGAAAATACTAGTGAAAAATTTATTGAGGCTTTCTCCTCAACACCCGCCCTCTCACGGATCTCAGTCAATGAGCTTGTAGATAATTTCAGTTCTAAAATTACAAATGTTATTGATGCCATTGCACCAGCCAAGGTGAAGGTGGTCTCTGGTAAGAGAAGATCTCCATGGAGAAATGCCACGCTGGTTAGAACTCAAAAAAGAGAGTGTCGAAAAGCTGAACGCAGGTGGTGGAAAACAAATCTCCAGGTTCATTATGACATCGATAAAGAGAGACTTCGCATTTCTAATTTAGAGCTGAGAAATGCAAGGCGGTCCTTCTTCTCTGACATCATCACCAAAAACACTAATAATGCACGTGCCCTGTTTGCTACTGTCGACAGGCTAACCAACCCTCCTGTGTCTGTAGCCTCTGAACTTCTATCCACCAGGGCCTGCAATGAATTTGCTTCCTTCTTCACAGACAAAATTCAAACAATTAGACAAGCAATCAGTGCCTCCCTATCAGTAACAGGATATGTCTTGTCCCTGTGTCCACTTAAAAACAATTCATATAGCATGAGACAATTTGATTCTATTAACCATAAAAACCTGGAGGACATAATACAACATCTGAAATCCTCCGCATGCTGCCTTGATATTCTGCTAACTAACAGGTTAACAGGTTTTTTCAAAAATGTGTCTAAATGCATGGCCCCAGATTTACTACAAATTGTCAACATGTCTCTCCTCTCAGGTTTTTTCCCCACAGGCCCTGAAAACTCATTAAGCCACTCTTAAAAAAAGAGCAATCTAGACAGTTCACTAATGAGCAATTATAGGCCCATATCAAATCTCCCATTTCTGAGTAAAATCATTGAAAAGTCTGTTTTTCAACAGCTTAATGCTTTCTTGGCACTAAATAACTGTTTTGACGTCTTCCAGTCAGGTTTTCGACCACACCACAGCACTGAGACAGCTCTTGTTAAGGTCTTCAATGACATCCATTTAAACACTGACAGTGGCAGAATTTCAGTCTTAGTATTATTGGATCTCAGTGCTGCATTCGACACGGTCGACCACAACATATTACTAGACAGACTTGAAAACTGGGTTGGACTTTCTGGCACAGTACTAAATTGGTTTGAATCTTACTTAAAGGACAGGGACTACTTTGTGTCTATAGGTAATCACACATCTGAGCTGACAAAAATGACATGTGGAGTTCCCTAAGGCTCCATTCTGGGACCTCTTTTGTTTAACATTTACATGCTTCCACTGGCTCACATTATGAAAAACAACAAAATATGTTACCATAATTATGCAGATGACACACAGATTTACATAACCATTTCACCAGGGGACTATGATCCCATACAGGCGCTGAGTAACTGTATTGAGCAGGTCAACAATTGAATGTGCCAGAATTCTCTTCAATTAAACAAGGATAAAACTGAAGTTATTGTTTTTTGAGCCAGGGAGGAACGATTGAAAGTCAGTGCTCGACTTCAATCTGTTAAGAACCACAAATCAAGCCAGAAATCTTGGTGTAGTCATGGACTCAGACCTGAATTTGAGGAGCCATATTAACACAATTACAAAGTCAGCCTACTATCACCTGAAGAATATATCAAGGATTAAAGGATTATGTCTCAGCAGGACCTGGAAAAGCTTATCCATGCATTTATCTTCAGTCGACTTGACTACTGTAACAGTGTCCTTACAGGGCTCCCTAAGAAATCCATCAGACAGCCGCAGCTGATTCAGAACACTGCTGCTCGAGTCCTCACTAAGAGCAAAAAGGTGGATCACATCACTCCAGTTCTGAGGTCTTTACACTGGCTTCCTGTATGTCAAAGAATTGATTTCAAAATCCTGCTGTTAGTTTATAAAGCATTAAATGGTTTAGGGCCAAAATACATTTCCGATCTTCTGCTTCATTACGAACCATCCAGACCTCTCAGGTCGTCTGGGGCAGGTCTGCTTTCTGTCCCGAGAGTCAAAACTAAACAAGGAGAAGCAGCGTTCAGTTATTATGCTCCGGATATTTGGAACAAACGCCCAGATAACTGCAGGTCTGCTGAAACAGTCAGTTCTTTTAAATTAAGACTGAAGACTTTTCTTTTTACCATTGCTTTTAATTAATTAAATATTTAAGATTTAACTTACACTGCACCTTTTACTGTCCTGTTTTCTTTTTCTTTGTATTATTTTCCATTTAACTCTTTTAACCCTGATTGCTAACTAACTTTTATTATATTTTATGTTGCATTTAAACTTTTACATATTTCCCTGTTGCTTTTATGTTTTATGTAAAGCACTTTGAATTACCTTGTTGTTAAATTGTGCTATACAAATAAACTTGCCTTGCCTTAACAATTGTGTCACTTTGTGACCTTGTGACAGGAGTTTGTCGCCTTTTACTATATATATTTTAACATTTTGGGAATACGCTTGCTGGGAGTTAGATGAGGTGATCAATACCAACCTCATGTCTGTGTGGTAAATATGAAACTAAAAAGAAGCAACTGATAAGCTTATCTTACCATAACGACTAGAAAACCACATTGCAGCACCTCTAAAACTCACTTATCAACTTACTATATCTCCTGTTTCATGTGGACAAAACTCCATAGCATAAAAAGTACAATTTGTGGTTTTATGAGAGGGTTTGTGCCGGACTGGCTGGGCTCAGTGACTTTGTGAGCTTAACAGGTGCAGGTAGGCAGATTTTGTTACCTTGAAGAGAGCTTGGCCAGCTGTTTCCCCGTTTTCAGTCTTTCTGCTAAGCTAACTGGTTGCTGGTGGTAGCTTCATACAGTATTTACTTAGCCATATAAGACTGGTATCTAACTCCTGACAAGACAGCGAGCTGTGATTTAACACTAGGGGAGTGTGTGCGGTTACAGGTGTGTGTTTCATCACAATGTGAATCAGTAAGCTGAATCATCCTTCTCACAGATGCAGAGCAGCCCACAGCTGTCTCAGCAGGGAACCGGGCGAGGTCACGGTGAAGGGTTTGAGGGTAAGCAGACCTTTTGCCATTCATAACGCAATTCCTCTGTTCACACCGCCAACAGGCGACGCTGATTTCTCATCATCTTGGGTGTGCTTTCAACAGCTGCTTGAGCAAAACACCTGATTAAACAGCATCCCTGACATTGCGTGTCTGATTAAACGGCAATTAGGATAAACAAAAGCAGACATTACAGTGCGCAATTGGCCATGTCATCCCCCTCCCCCCAAAAAAAACAATTCAACAAAATAAATTTTTGCGGATACCAGAGCCAGAATACCAGGAAAGTCTGCTTAACGTCTTGCAACAATAACAACAAATAATCATGAGAATTATGTCACATCTACCTCAAATGTTGTCTTTGTACTTAAAATGCCAAAAAACGCAGTAAGCACCTGCTGAATCAAGCCATAGAAAACTCAAATCAAAACAAACACAAATTCAACAACAAATTCAGCACTTACACCTTAAGCAGCACTCATATCTGGCTTACTGTGCATTTCTCTCCATAAACGTCAAAAGCACACATATTTAATTCAGCTAGACACACAGCTTATGGCTTTGAGTGCATTGTTTGCGCTCCAGAGAGGACTGTGATCCCGCTGTGGACCACTTCAACAGCAGAGGAGTGGCAGGCTCAACCTGTCAGCCCACAGGATCACGGTCTGGTTCACTGGGCCAAGCCAAGGCGCACTCAGCCATTCAGTCAACCAGCTCGAGGGCAGAAACCACAAGAGGAAAAAGAGCGTGAAAGACCATAAAAGTACAAAAGAAGCTGAAGAACGAAGTAAAAGAACAAGCCTGTGAAATAAAAAAGTCAAAGCAACAGAGGAAGCTGTTAAAACTGCAGGGCAAGAGAGTGTCAGAAAGAAAAGAGAGGCTGAGTGGAAGGAAATGTCAGAGCCAGAGAGAGGAGAAAAATGGTAACAATGGCTAAAAATACCAGATACAGGCACCGCAGGGCAGAGAATGGCAGAGCAGAATAGGCACTGGGCACTGGGCAAAACACTCCCTGAGAGAGCAACGAGCTCTTAGCGCCCTGAATCCCTGTCTGTCTGAATCCAAAGGACGGTGGAGGAATGTCATGCCCTTCACAAGGCCCTCCATTTGCAAACTTATCACCTCTTACTGCCCACTACAACACATTTCAAGCAATAGCACTTCCTGTTACACATTCCTCCCACAATTTCCCAGCCCTGTAATATAATGTTCAACCTGGTCAGCAGCAACAAAGGCAGAGTTTAGTTTGGACCTGTATCACTGGTGGACTTTTGAATGTACATACTTAAAAAATGGTCAATTTGGTAGGAGGACTTCTGTGCAGAAAGTAGTCAAGGACACTAACACTACAGTATTTCTGCAAAGTCATGTTACCTTTTAAAAAAAAAAATAAAGCTATTTTTGTGAAGAAGTGGAGGCATAAAACTCAGAGACAAACAAATTGAACCACATCTGCACGGCTAGATACTACTAGTAGGTAAGTGGGAAAAAATATGCTTTATTATAATTTGGTTGAACTGACATTTAAATGTTCTAAAAAATACTGATGCTGCTGATGTTTTTGTTGATAGCAGAGTTTATAGAACACAAACCAATGAGAAAAAGCCTTTATTAGTAATCTGCTCTTATCTAAAATCTCAAACAGCAAGCATTCACAACCCACTGAACCACAATGAGACACAGTGCAGCTGGACTCGCATCACTGCGCACTCCAAAAAGCATTAGACCACAGACCTCTCATCTCCCACTCCTTAACACATACACACACACGCACGCACGCACACGCACGCACGCACACCCACGCACCGTGGATTCTGCCACAACTATCCAGACACTGCAATTGAATAGTGATAAGCTGATATCACTCATGCTGGGTGAAAAACACAGACTGGTCAATAAGCGAAGAATGAGAGGGTCGGCTGCAGGCATGACATCATGGAGGCGTCCACTCTGAAAGTCCGCTGTTAGCAGAATGGTCTTGTGGACTCAGCACTTTCCATTTTGTGTGTGTGCATTGTGTTTATCTTCAGTAATAACACTCCTGGGTCTTCCATGGACCCCACTCCAGCCTTTTTGGCTTGTACTGCGCAGACTGAGCTGTATCCTGAGTAAAAACTATTTCAGTTAAATGTCTGCAATGTACACAGTTAACCTGGTTTCACGTGCCCTACACCACAGAAAGCATTTAAAAGGCAAGAACTGAAGGCAGCCTAAAAATGACAAGGTCCCTTTTATTGTTTTAAACATGAAATGCCATTCGCCCTCTGCGGTGAAATGACCACTGAAGGAGGTAGATGAGGTGGAAAATGGTGGGATTTTAGTAGAGTAACAGCGGTGACAGGTTGCTCGGTGTTAGCTCTAGTCAGACAGCCATTAGCGATTGCCTCCCTCGCAGTTAGTTCATCGCACTCATAGCCAAAGACAGCACTAGAAGAATATTAACAAGTTCTGGGGGGAACAACGGCCACCAGAAAGCCATTAAGTCTTGAGTTAAATCAAATGAAATTACTGGTGACTATTATAGCTGCCACACAGCTGCAGAAATTGCTGAGCATTTTAAGATACCAGACTTCACTTTTTGTGCATTGAAAGATAATTAGGAATGACATTTTTAGATATGTCATTTATTCACCTTCTTCACTGAGATGTTCCCGTTTCCCTGGCTGTTCTGATCCTTATCACACCCCTAAAAGTATTTTCCTAGCTGTTACCTGCCTCTCTGTATGCTCAGTCTCCCTGCAGCAGCCTCATATGGAGAGAAATTACTCTTCATTTTGCATTTATTTTCAATTTGCTGAATGCGTGTGCACAGATCACCTAACATGAGTGGATTTGGGTTATATTTGTTTGTGGCGTTTTGAGACTTTTCCCATCTGCCTCTGATCCACAGATGCATGTTGCGTTTAAGTGCTGGTGGTAGCTCGGGTGCCAGCCTTCTTTTTTTTTTTTGTGCTGAATTTCAAAGTGGGAAGCATGTTAGCCCGAAACATACAATAGCTCAGACAATATTTCAGTAATTAAAAGTATTTTTACATGTAATATTCCGGTGTTATATGGTATATTTAAATTGACTGACTCTACCGTTTCACATCAAGCACATAGAGACTGTGCCCCTTTCCTGACCCCTATAGATGTAAATAAAACTTTTATTAGATTAATTAATTTTTTTTAGATTAATTTCATTAAAATCATAAAAATTCAAGTTGTATTTATTTGTGAAATTGTTGGTCAATTTGGTTGGTAACATAAAAATAGTAAAATAGTTTATTTCCATTTACCATTTTTATAATTGTTTTAATATTAATGTATATTGTCTGCTACGTCGCAGAAGAGACTTACAAACTCATTTTCACTCTACAGCCTGTTGTATTGTGACAAATAAATCCACCTTCTACACTTGTAAATCCTGTGGATCATGAAACACACATTTGTCATTAATATTGAGACCAATTTCTCTCTATAGACTTGTCTGATCTTTTAAATACATATTGGACGATATGGCCAAAAATGTTATCACGATAAAAAGTTTCATATCTTTCAATATCGATAATTAACACGATAATTATCGAAAATGATCAGGATAAATGTCAAATCATTACTTCTATCGAGTTTAAATGCAGATTTTTGCTCCTGAGTGAAAGTTGAAGAAACCTGATGGTTAATTGTGGTGTTCTTCATGGGCAACACTTGATGCCAAACAGTGGATCACTTTACAAATCTGAGGCAGAACATTCAAAACAATTATGATAAAATCTTTGTCAACAAATATGCACGAGTAAAATTAAGTAAAAGTTTTTTTCAGTCCTTTTTCCTCAACAAAATAAACATCTTAACAAAATGTTTTATTGATTCAATTTTTATTGTATGATTCAAGTGAATAAAATCATACATTTATTGAACATTTATTATATTGTTACTGAAAATAAGTATATCGCAATAATTATTGTTATTGTTTTATTGTCCAGGCCTACATATTCTCTTCCTCCATATCCACCCTTCACTTCATCATGCGCTCCATCCTTCTCGCCCGTCATGCACGCCTGAACTTCTTCCTTCTTCACCCTCACCTAACAAGAACTTCCTCCTGGAAGAGGACAGGAGTGAAGAAGCAGGATAATGAGAGAGGAGGAGGAAGATGATGAAGGGGAAGGCAGGGACGAGGGAACGGCCTCAGGCTGTGGACGTGAGCAACAGGTTGGGAGAGGGGTGTAGCCGTGAACGAACACACGAAATAATCCATCATTTTATTTCTAGATTACTCACTCTACTTTCTTCCTTACTTTTCCTTCTTCTGTCACTGGAGGCTTAATATCTTTTCTGACAGTGGTGACATTTATGTAAATGTGTGTGTGTGTTCTGAGGTATAAAATAACCAGCAGCTCATTAGCCCCATGTCAGTGGAGTAATGAGAATCATCAGAGGTCTAATGAGCAGTAAGTGCGTAAGCATTACAGATGTGACTGGCTGCCACAGCCAGACTGCAGAGTGAGTGTGTGGGCGAAGGGGACAGAGTGAAGGAGACAGGGTAAAAGAAAGAGGGAGAGAAACAGTAGTGGAGTTATGAAAAGAGACAAAAAGACAAAAAAGGAAACCATGGAAGAGAAAAGCAGAAAGAAGCTGAAAAGAAAACATTGCACTTGAGATGTGCAAAAGAGCTGGAGAAGAGAAATGACAAACAGTTCAGAGGTCGAGACAGAGCCAAGTGGTCGAGGTCATGGGGACCACCGGTGTTTCTATGGCAACCAGCCTCATTACAGAGCTGGCTTAATCATAACATACCTCGGTGGAAACCGCAGCCAATCATGTGGCCGGAGAGTTAAAGGTCACAGACTGCCACGGACAGTAACGAGTGCTGATTGCATTACAGAGCAGCAGAGCCAGCACACAAGAGTCTGTCTGGGTTTAGTCCGGTTGGTAGACACACATGACTGACTGGTTTATTAAGTAATGGGATGCACCAGTATTTAAGGTGGTAGGGCAATGTGTTAAACCTCAATACTGTACAGACTGAAATGTGTCCAAAGCACCAAGTATCGGAAATGGTCAATTACTAAAAGCTGGCATTAAAAGTTCAGTGTGTAAGTTCCCGAGTGGAAGTTGTTCCTCCGACTTCAGTGTGTGTTCACGTGCTCTTAAGTCGAAATGTGGAATTAACATGGACGCTAATATAAAGATTTGTTGTATTAACATTATCAGAGCGTATAAACAACACGCAGACATCTACAATATCTTAAATCAATTTAATTCCTAAATCCAACAACAAAAAGGCTGTGTAAACTGTTAACATATGGACATCTTTTAATATCTTTAGATAATATAGATTACCCCTGGCAAGGTTTCATTATTTGTGTCTACTTATATATTTGTATACTCTTCTTTATGTCCCATGTACACTTTATTTCCCTTTTTGAAATAAAGATTTAAGAAGGGAAAAAAAATTCAGATTTTTTCCAACACCATATGAATGCGCCATCAGACACCGCTCACCCCACCTTTTCCAAGCACGCAGGAGAAGCGATGGTGGCCAACACACTCTGTCGGCTCTTGTGCTAAAAATTCATTTTCTTTACTTATTCTTTGATCAGAAAGTTCCTTGTGTACATTTTGTCAATTTTTAGTCAACCACTGTGAACCACCATTGTACTTCAAAATCAGTTAACTTTTATATTTTCTTTTAATCGCTTTTGAGATAATTCGTCTTCTACTGCATGCTACATAGTGCGAGAAATATTAGTAATGGTTTGTACAAATGATTACAAATAACACATTGATGACTCAGTGCTTGCATCACTTAAATTAACACAATGTCCACTCACTCATAAAACCCGTATTTCTTCAGTCACTGATCATCCACCACAAGGATCTCTAAACTCTACTCACCTACTTGTATGACACTTGCTGTTCAGTTGAAGAGTTTAAAAAGACCATGCTGTTTTGCTGTCTTACCCCTTTGACTCCCTTCAGGTCTCCTTTCAGCAGGCTGTCCAGAGGAAAGGTGATGATGTTGTTCATATTTTGAAACTGGAGGAGGGTGAGGAGCAAGACAGAGAAGAGTTGAAAGGTTACAACAGCAGCAGAGTGAAAGTTAGGGGTGCCTGACGCCAGAGATGTAATCCTGAAATGTAATGTGTCCTGTGTGTTGTTTGAGTGTGTGTGTATGAGCGCAACAGGAAAGGAGAGAGGCACTCAGGTATACATGTGAGTTTTCTTCTTTTATCTTCAGTAAATGATGGTGATAGGAGGCTGAATGAGCTAAATGAGGTAAAACTTAAGACATAATGTCAGGAAATACCAATTATGAAAGCAATGTGGGACAATGAGTTAATTAAACTTTGCTAAGGTCTCTCTCATGTCTGAACACTTGCACCATATTTTTAATCACAAAGAAACTCCCCTGTTTGCAAGTTTCTGTTAAGGTCAGCCTGTGTGTGTGTAATGCTGTACATGTAATCTAGGAAGCTTGCTAAAGCTTTGAGAGATTACATCTTCGCGTCCAGGTCAGGTGGCAGCTCATATTTCTTTAATATAAAGTGTTGAGATAACACTAATACAAAATCTCAGGCCCCTGGTCTCAGTGAGAGTGTAGATGCAGTGTCCAGGGGCAGCGACAGACCTGACATGATGGTGTCAAATATTTCTAATAAAGCTCTGGCTTCAATACAAAACCAGAGCAGGATCAGGTTGAATTAGATCCAGCAGATATTTGGGGTTGCAGCGGCTCTTTGGCCGTCTCAGTGGAAAACTACAGCTACCTCCGGAGGGCTTTATGTTCCAGCTGGACTTGGTATGTGCTCGGTGTGTGTGTGTGTGTGAGTGTGTGAGTGTGTGAGAGAGAGAGAGAGAGAGAGCGAGAGAGAGCGCGAGAGAGAGAGAGAGAGAGAGAGAGAACACACACAGAGACTCGAGGGGATTGAGACAATTAGGGACAGGATGGAAATCCATTTGTCCCAGAGGATTTTACCTCTCCTAACTACATAGAATCCTACGACCCACAAATACACACATTAGACACACACACACAGTGTAGAATCACCAGGTTTTTGAAGAGCGCAGTGAGCTCCTTGGTGAAGACGGAGAACTTGAGGAAAGCTGAACCCAGATCAGGATCATCTCTGTACACGCAGTTTTCTCCAAACCTCTCCAGGGCCTGAGTGTACTGCTCCTCGTTCTCTACATGGGCTGAAAAACACACACACACACACACACACACACACACACAGATCAGGTTGACAGGTAGTAGTGATCAAACTAAGGTCTTTCACTCTCTGATTATTAAGTCAAAAAATCAATCACTGTGTATTAATAATGTATGGCAGCCTTTCAGTGAACAGAGGTCCACGTTTCTGGCTGGTCAATACTTCCATCACAGGTTTTTCCCAGAGAGCAGTTTTGCTGAAGTGGTACGTGCTGCCCCACCACTGACTAGGCCGTTTTTTTACTTTTACTTCCCTGACTTTGAAACGTGCTGCGCTTATCAGTTAATGCAAAACAAAAGGCTGAACTGAAAACTCTAGTTTTGCAGATACATATTTTGATGTTTTAAAAGCCAATATATCAGCCAATATTCTTCTTCTTTTCAGAAACGCATAACATCAACAAACATTATCCCAAACATTTGTTATGTGTAGTTTTGAGACCTGACTAAGATAACATGACATAATGTAAACCCTTTCATGCAATCCTCAAATCCTCAATTTGTGGACAGTTATTTTAACTACACTTTGGGTTAATATATCATGGTTATGTCCGCCAAGCCACCTGAGGGCAGTGTCAGGTGATTGATAACAATATTGTAACAGCGGTTACTATTGTCTATTCCAAATATTCATTGTTTGATGACCTGATCAATCTAAGATGGCTGATATTGATAGCCATGTGATAAATGCTATTTAACAGAAATATGAACATACACTCTCATCCAAAAGTATTAGAACGGTAAGGCACATTCCTTTGTTTTTGTTGTTCACTGAAGACATTTGGGTTAAAGCTCAAAAGATGAGTATGAGACAAGAGTTCAGAATTTCAGCTTTTATTTCCTGGTATTCACATCTAGATGTGTTAAACAACTAAGGACATACCACCGTTTGTATTAGACCACAGCATTCTTAGGTGAGCAAAGTAATGGAACAAATAATCTTAAAGTAAATAACATTTAACATTTGGTGGTATAACCCTTGCTTGCAATAACTGCCTCAAGCCTGCGACCCACTGACATCGCCAAACTGTTGCATTCTTAATTTGTGATGCTATTCCAGGCTTTTACCGCAGCTTCTTTTAGTTCTTGATTGTTTCGAGGTGTTTCTCCCTTCAGTCTCCTCTTAAGGAGGTGAAATGCATGCTCTATTGGGTTAAGGTCAGGTGATTGACTTGGCCAGTCTAAAACCTTCCTTTGTTTTGTTGGTAGTGTGCTTTGGGTCATTGTCCTGCTGCATGATAAACTTCCTCCCAATTAGTTTCAATGCATTTCTTCGTAAATTGGCAGAAAAAATATGTCTGTACACTTCTGAATTCATTCTGCTGCTACCATCATCAGTTACATCATCAATAAATATTAATGAGCCTGTTCCAGAAGCAGCCGTGCACGCCCAAGCCATGATATTAGCGCCACCATGCTTCACAGATGAGCTTGTATGCTTCGGATCATAAGCAGTTCCTTTCTTTCTCCACACTTTGGCCTTTCCATCACTTTGTCAGAGATTCATCTTGGTCTCATTAGTCCATAAGATTGTGTTCCAGAACTTTCACGGCTCATCTCTGTACTTCTTTGCAAATTTCAGTCTAGCCTTCCGATTCTTACTGCTGATGAGTGGTTTGCATCTTGTGGTGTGGCCTCTATATTTCTGCTCTCTGAGTCTTCTTCCAACAGTGGATTGTGATACCTTCACCCCTACACTGTGGAGGTCGTTGGTGATGTCACTTACTGATGTTTTGGGGGTTTTCTTCACAGCTCTCACGATATTTCTGTCATCAACTACTGTTGTTTTCCTTGGCCGACCTGTTGGATGTCAGATGTTCAGTCCACCAGTAGTTTCTTTCTTTTTCAGGACGTTCCAAATTGTTGTGCTTGCTATACCCAATGTTTGTCTAATGGGTCTGGTCGATTTTCCTTCTTTCTCAGCTTGTCAATGGCTTGCTTTTCTCCCATAGACAGCTCTCTGGTCTTGATGTTGGTTTATCCTCTTTAACAGGAAATGCAGTCTTTATAGGTTTGAACAGAGGATGAAAACTTAGACTAGTCATGCAGAGCTATTTAATGTTTGGACAATCAACCTAAAAGGCAACACATGGGCAACAAGAAATATCTGTCAGTCACATAGATTTGCTCACATGAAAAATGGGCGGGTTAAAACAAAGGGTGGTCTGTCCTGAGTTCTTTAACACATCTAGATGTGAATACCATGAAATGAGAGCTGAAATTCTGAATTCTTGTCTCATACTCATCTTTTGATCTTAAACCCAAATGTCTTCAGTGAACAAAAACAAAGGAATTTGCCTTACCGTTCCAATACTTTTGGGAGGGGACTGTAAATAACAATGCAAAGGTACATATTACAGCATTAAATTGCAAAGTTTTACATACATACATAGACAATTTTGCTTTTTTGTTTTCTAAACAGGGACAGCATAGGTCAAGGACCCAATAAAGAGTAAATGAGAATATCCCAGAGGGTAGTGGAAGTGACAGTGACAGCAGTAATGAGGACTATGTGCCAGAAAACCCCAGGTCTGAGACAGAAAGTGAAGTGGAGAACAATACAGAGAGACTACCGGAGAGATCACAAGAGAATGAGGCACAGGGTGAGATGAAGTGATTCAACATTAAGTCAGATAAGGATAAAAATATAAATGAGTTGTTACTATATCAGCAGTGAATGTTTTCTATTACTTAGCCTCATTGTTATTGGGTTTCCGCATATATGTTACTACAGTTATAAATACCACCGATTGTTTTCTCTCTCATTGTTCCTAAATTATTATTATGATTGTTAGTTTTCAATGTTTGAGCTCAACATGACAACAACAAAACAAAATATTCCATATTGTCAGGTGTGGCAATTTACGCGTTTGTTGCATGGTGTCTACACATAAGGACAATTTTAGCACAATTTTGAGTATTAAAAACAATCTTCAAGGATGTTTGGACTCTTTTTTTTATTCTGACATTTTTACAAACTAAATAAGTAATTTAACAATAACTAATAACTATAACTATTATATTTGAAAATAATTGTTAGTTGTCATCCCACTACTGACAATAAAAAAAAAAAAAAAAGAACAGAGACAATGTAAACGTTGAGGTGAAGGAAGTGCGAGGGTTTTTAATTTTTTTTTCTAAATTTTGGTGGCTATAATCTTGAAATCTCTTCCTCCATTAGCTGTGATCAGACACATTTTTCACAATTCTCCACCTCATCTGTATTTGCTTTTCAATTGTGCTTGTTCTTTAAAACAACAAGAAACACTGGGGATTTTCTTCCTTGATAACAACACCCACGGGGAGACAAAGAGAAGCAAGGGGCAGGACCAAATAGAAACGATTGACAGCAAAGGAAACGTTATGCCGAGGATGGACAGGAAGAAGAAAAGACAAAATATACTGAACTGGCCACAAACTAAACAAACCTTCAGTCAGTTACCAGTCAGGAGGGAAACCCATAAACTAGCTGTGACCAAAGTCTCCTAGTGTGTCTTAAGTCGCCCTAATGTACCATGGGGTTAGGCCTAGATGATTCCACTTAATACACTTCACGCTAGACTAGGCAGCTGATAACAGCTAATGCCATTGGGACAGCGACATGGCAAGGGATGAAGCACGGGGGATTGTTGCTATGACAACATTCACTAAGAGACAGTGATGAAGACGGAGGGGGAGTTTGAGGGAGGTACTCCAGGAAAAAAGATAAGAGGAGGTGTGTGTAAAAATATGGAGGATGTACACTAAAGAGCTCCTGACTGCCACTTCATGACTCAGCTTTTTATATTACACACATCCACACCATTGTGTTACTATGTTTGTGAGGACGCGTCACTGACATAATGTATTCCCCAACCCCGAACCTTAACCATCACAACTACATGCCTAACCGTTGCCTAATTCTACCCCTAACCCAAAAACCAAGTCTTAGCCCTCAAACAGCCCTTTAAACTTGTGAGGTACAGCATTTTGGTCCTCACAAAGCTGTCGGACCAAAGCATAGTGGAATCCATGTTTTTGGACCCCACAAATTTAGTAAAACAAGCCCACACACATGCACAGATGTGGCAGGTTTGTGCATGAGGTTGGATAAGTTCCACCACAGAGATATCATGTTATTAAAAGGGGAAAGCTGAAAGCCTCTGAGTCACTACCCGCTTACCTCCTCACATCAGACAAATCTAATTTAAGCCACCAAATATCAACTGATGCAAAAGGTGAGCTGGACGATATGCACCGAGTCCTATAGGAGCCTTAAGTGGCAAAATGAGAGCATTGAACAGCTTCTAGTATGAAGTATCTGAGATAATAGTTTTGGTTTTCCCCCTAATACAACTAAAGAAAACAGACACAAAAGTTGATTTTTTTTAAAACAAACTCATTTTTATTAACTGATCAATTGTCTATAGAATTATATAATTGCTTGTTTTGTCCAAAAAGAGAGAAGCACCAAATCCTCACATTTGAAAAGCTTGACTGAACACGCTAATGACTGAAGATTAACTTCTTTTTTTGTGTTTATCAAAAAATACATTACCTGAAATTTATGCTTGAACACTTAAAATATACAGGTGCTGGTCATATATTTAGAATATCATCAAAAAGTTGATTTATTTCAGTAATTCCATTCAAAAAGTGAAACCTGTATAATGTATACATTCATTCCACACAGACTGATATATTTCAAGTGTTCATTCCTTTTAATTTTGATGATTATAACTGACAACTAATGAAAATCCCAAAATCAGTATCTCAGAAAATTAGAATATTGTGTTAATATAAGGTTCAATATTGAAGACACCTGGTGCCACACTCTAATTCGCTAATTAACTCAAAACACCTGCAAAGGCCTTTAAATGGTCTCTCAGTCTAGTTCTGTAGGCTACACAATCATGGGGAAGACTGCTGACATGACAGCTGTCCAAAAGACGACCACTGACAACTTGCACAAGGAGGGCAAGACACAAAAGGTCATTGCTAAAGA